ACAGTGTAGTGCCCCCTCTCCACCCGATTACTTTCTTCAATGCCAATCTGCTTACAGGTTTTGATGGACAGGTCTGGGTTCTTCTGGATCCCGCCACCCACTCAGCAGGTTGTAACCTCTTTATGTTTCCCTATGAAGTTATTTGGCGGTGCCGCCTCCCCCTCCTCACTCCATCCTGGCAGGATCACCAGGGCAGCTTGGTAGGAAAATTCTAACCACAGAGTAATCCCCACTTACCTGCCAGATAGTTGGAGACTTCCAAGAAATAACACAAATACATACAATATATTCAACACAATAATCATATGACAAATCATATGACAAATAGAACATAACGGGGTAAAACACTATTTTTAGGTTCACCGGTGCCCATGATGCTAATACCTGTGACTTGCCCCAGTCACGTGACTTGATGTAGCAAGTCAGTGTAAGATTAGTGTCCCATTGGTACGCGTACTTTGCTGGGGCCCTTGACCTATGACCACAAAATTCTTCTCTGCAGTAGTTTAGAAGTGTGGCTGACTGGGCTCAGTACAGCTCAAAGGACTCACAAGCGGGAAAAGGTGGTAAATCCCTCCACAGGTTTAATATGCAACAGGTTATAAAATCCCCAAGCCCTTACTCCCTGGCTTGAGGACACAGTTCAGGGAGTAGGGAGTCCCCAAAACAGATTTCCTGACTGTCTAACTAAAAGATGATGCACTCACAAACTCCATGAATGGTCCTCAGGTTCAAAGATTACTCTGGACTCCTCAGTCACTGCAGACGGTTGATCTCTGCTAGCAGGGATTCTCTTCAGGCAGGAATCAGGCTGCTTCAGTCCCAAGATTTCCCCTCACCCAGGAGTGGCCGGAGGCTGACTGCGGCAGCTGGCGCCCCAGGCGGAACACACGATCAGCACCCCCACCTGCAGGGCTGTCAATAGACTGACGTTATCATCGGGTGCCCTGTGACGTCATCATCAGGCGCCCCAGACAGCGGTGCCCTAGGTGGCGGCCGAGTCCACCTATAGTCATGGGCCGCCCCTGCCCTCACCACAAAGGGGTGCAGGGCTCAAGACGCAGATTACACAACTGTACTAAAATCCAAACTGTAGTCTCCTATCCCACCGTCCAGACACACACTCAGCAGGCAGCAGTCCTGAACTAGCAGACAGAGCAGAGCTGACCATGTGGTGACTGGTCTCACCCAGGGAGCTGGAGGGCTAACTCAGCCTGGCTAGGGAAGTTTCCCAGCAAACTCTACAAACTGGGAATCCGGAGTGGAGAAAGGAAAAGCCCTGCTGAGGGATCTTGCATTCGGGTCCCTAGAGGCCAATTCACAGGGGGAACCCTGCATGCAGGCCTGGGGCTTATGAGCGCCCCACACCACCAGCCCTGCCCTTGCTTTGGCTGGCTCCCCTCTCCAACCAAAAAAAATGGCTACTCCCCTCTCCTGAACTCCCTGGGAGGGGCATCTCACTCCCTATTTGTTGCTGGGAAGACTCTGAGTTTGCCTTGGCTTCCCCTCCCTACCAGGGACACTGTGCCTCTCCCTGGACAGCCAGCAGACAGAGCCCCAGGAATCTAGGTAATCTCCTTGGGGATTACAACAGTAAGAGCGAGGGCCTCCAAATTTGATATGCAGCTTCCTTTTCTCCTAACTTAAAACAAGGTCAGGGTTTGTTTGTGCCAGAATAGCCAGAAGCCCTAGGAAAAGGACAGTTTTCCATAACATGCAAAGGGAGGGGCTGCTGTTCTGAGGGATGCAATATGAGATTGGCCACTGGGGGCAGCAAATCCACAGGAGAGAGCTATCTTGCCGCGTGTCCATTGGGGGCAGCTGCATCGCCAAGAGAGTGGCCAGCAGGGCTGGGGATCCACCATCCTGCCTGCCAGCACACCAGTAAGCAGCCCCCCTGCCACAAACCCAGGGTAACCGGGGGGGGCGCAAGATGCACTTGGGGAGGGAGGGTGCAAAGGAGGACGGCTGCTTCCCCTGCCCATGCGGCAGTAACGGCCATGCTCCCTAGACGTGACAGGCTCACTCTGGGGAGTGCGGAGGTGGGGTAGAGTCAAAGGGCAAAGGGGTATTGGGTAACACATGCTTCCTAGACGTGACAGGCTCACTCTGGGGAGTGCGGAGGTGGGGTAGAGTCAAAGGGCAAAGGGGTATTGGATAACAGTGTGGTGGGGTCACGGGGTAAGAAGGTGTTGGTATGGGCTGTAGAGGTCAAAGGGCATTGGGTGTAGGGGTGGGGGTCAAAGGGTCTTAGACACTGGAGAGCAAGGAGCTGGGTTGGACCTAGGTGGACAGGCAATACTTTATTTGCAAATTCATTATTAGCATAATGAATATTCAAATATACAAATAAAATGTTGCCAGTCTGCCAAAAGTTTGTGAATGGGTTTGCCAGTCCGCGCTATAAAAAATGTTGAGAACCATTGACTGAGGATTTGTCTCCACTGCAGCTCACAAAATGCCTCCCAGCCTGGGTGGAGAGTCACATTAGCTTCCCTCAAGCTAGTGCTCTAGCAGTGTGGACAATGTGTCTTGGGCAGCTAGCCTGAGCCACTTCCAAGTCCAAGCTTGCCTGCACCTTTGTGTCAGAGCTTGGGGGGCTACCTTGATCCCGTGCCCATTCTGCAATGATCATACTGTTATTTTTATTGTGTTGGCTCAAGTGAAGCTAACTTAAGTGTCTTCCTCCAGGCTGGAAGGCACTCTCCCAACTACAGCACAGATAAATTTTTACAGTCTCTGTTCCTTGATTTCACCATCTGTAAAACATACATAAAAATACACCTCTGCTTCACAGGGATGTTGTGAGATTAAATTTGCTAATATTTGCAAACTACCCTGAGACTCTTGGATGCACAGTGACACATAAATGCAAAGATTTATTCTGCATTACTATTATTATAGTTCCACTTTTAGTATTAAGAATATATACTGAGATGTTTGTGCTTCACGATTAAGCATCCAATGAAAGGATGAGAACTGTAGTGATGCAGGTCACAGTGCATAGGGTTGGACTTGATGACTTCTCAAGGAGTCTGTTCAGCTTTACATTTCTGTGATTCATACTGTATTTTAAGACATTGCATAACGATTGCCTCTGTTTGGGTATCAGTCCAGTATTTTGCACTGAATGAACAAACGGTTTTTCCTTTCCTACCCCGCAATCAATAGAATAAAACTTGGCATGAAATGATGAAGACACCAGAGGCTAAGCAGAAAGACACCGATGATCCATTAGAAGTGAAGAAAGAAGAAGCTGTTTGGGAACTTTTTACAAGTGAATGCAGTTATTTTCTGGATCGCTTACTGGTTCTCAAGATGGTAATTTTGTATTTATTTCTCCAGTAGATAAAACATCTTACTTGTCCTGACATCACTGGGGAAGGAAGAAAGTAATCTATAACCTTTCCTTCTAATATCTCTATGGAAATTATTTGAACTCTTGTGCTGTGTATTCCTCCAGTCTTGTTTCTAAACCTATTTCTACAATTCTCTGGTTTCATTTCATCCTGATGAAATCTTTTCCTCTGTGTACCTCTTCTCAGTGCTTTGCATCAATCTCTCTTGGTTCAGTGCTTTCTGTACTCCCAAGAGCATCAGAAGCCATTTTACTCTTTCTTTCACTATCTCTCAACTCCCACTCATCGATGGATAATGCTCTACCTTCCATTACTGCTAGTTTATTTAATTTTTACTCCCGGCTTATTTATCAGCTTAGCTTGAGGAGAACTGATGGGATGTAGTTGTGTTATTCATAATGTACAAATTCAACAGGGCAGTAGGTCCAGTATTTTAAGCTTCCCTCCCATCCAGCAGAAAAAAATAAAATTAAATCTAAACTTATTCTGAGGAAAATTAGGAATGTCTTCAAAGTTGAACAAGCTGTGACTGACTGACGTGACTGACATTTAGGCACATGCAGTATCTTTTTATAGGTGATGAAGGAAGATCTATCACAAGGGTTTATACACACACGTTTCTCAAAAGGAAGGTGGATAGGGCCTAAGGAACAGCATTTTAAAAAGCATGTTACATTCTGAAAATAGAGTTTAGCCTAAAAAAAAAGTTCCGAAGTCAAGTGGATGAGAGAGAGCACAGTGTCCCATTGTAGTTGACAGATATAGTGGGAGGGACAGGATTATTGGACAGCTGGAAAAAGCCAGGATGAAGGTGTCCTGCAGTCCAGAAACATCTGTATAGAGTAGAAGCAGTAGATGATTGCTAAGGAGCACAGCTAACTACACATGGTTTTCCTGTTAGGGAGGGAGGTGATGAGTGTGGAGGAAGAACCTAGAGAGAAAGGCAGGTAGATACAATAGTATTGCCCAGTGTGGCTCACAAATGACACAGACTCTCCTCCCCCATACCGTCCTGCCCATCCCCATTTTTAATTATCCTACAGCAGTGAAAACAAATTTGCTTATGAAAGAGTTTGGCAAATCTCACCCTTCTATTTATTTCTTGCTGCTTCCAATATTCCTCACTATTAAATGTTCCACTTGTTCTAATGAAGTGCAGCTGACATTTGAGACTATGGAGAGTTCTCTCCTCAAGTGGCATTTTTCTCAGGCTCTCAGATCATTAGTTCATGGCTGCTAGACCAATGCAGGGGCAAGCATAAGCATTCATTCTCTTCACCCCTCTCCTAGTGCTTTGAGCTACATCAGTAAGCACTTTATTCCTGTTTTGACATAAAACCATCTCTATTAAAAAAATCCAGATTTCTCTGCTCATTTTTAGCTAATTTGAGGACATCATTTGGTATAAATCAAAGTAAGTCAATGTGACCCTCCCCCCCCAAAGAGCCAAGCTAGAGCACCTGATGCATAATGTGTCCAGTATTCCTCACGTTCACAGTTTTCTTTCAGCACAGCTGAAATTCACACCAAAAAAAGAAAGCCACCCCACTTCTCAAAAATGTGGCCCAAAAGCCATTCCTCTGTCTAGTGGGACTCTTCCACCCTCCATGCCTGGGCGTACACAGCTACATGGAGATAGACATGGAGGAGGTCTGAGGTAGGCATAGGTTAGAGGACAGGGACTTAGGAAGAGTGAGATTGTGGACCCCATGTCTGCAACTGCATAGATCTGTGAGTATGAAGCCCTTCATACAGGTCTGCAGAGGCTGCAGTACCCATTGCTGACCATAGAACAGAATAACAGCCATGATGGGGCTACATTGCTGTCAATGGGCTGGCTGTGTATGGATTCTGTAATGTCAGACAGTTCATCATTCCTGCCCAAATCCCACAAGTGAGGCTTTGTGCAGGCCATGAAAAACTTGCTCCTAAATGCTGTGATCTCAACCATTTCATAGTCTGCCAAATGAATTACTGCTTACAAAGAAATATATGGTTAAATATATTGGCCCTCTTCAAATTAATTGGGTGGTTAGAGTTCAGTTAATACAGAGAATAAATAATATGGCTTTATTGTCTTTTTAAAGGTATTTCTGAATACACTGAAATACCTGCAGACCAATGAGTTCCTCTTGGATGTGGATTTGTGGGGACTTTTTGCAAACTTGGAGGAATTAATCCAGGTGAGAAAAAAACAGGAATTTCCTTTCAACCAAAAGCTGACAGCATAATTAAAAAGGAGAACAAAGAATAGCCAGACCCAAATTTTAGTGTCTGTATCTTGAACTTAACCCTAAAGACACTTTTTCCTTTGATAAAACAGTTTGGATGAGGCTTCATCAGTCAAATGACTCTCATATGATTTCATGAATAGGCACAGAGCCATTTGAGATTTGGGTCTGACTGTTGTCTGGTGGTTTCCTGTTTTGAAGTAAATGTCATATGACAAGGTTGGAATTAGTTCTTTAAAACAGTCTTGTTAAAAGCATGGCATTAGGTGATACAAACATTAGGGCAGAACAATCATGACAGCCAGATCCATACAATGAATGTCCCATATCAAACACGCAGATAGACATGACACGTCTGCTGTGCTGTAGTCCCTTTGTCCTTCTGGAGTAGCACAAAGGGAATGGAAACCACCCTCCTCTCCAGCTGGGGATTCTCCAGTATGAACGAGTCCCTCACAAGTGTAGAGCTGACATGCTGGACATCTGAGCTACTGACCCTGCAGCTTCTCTCCCCCTTGCCCCAGAAGTCATCGGCCCTCAGTTGGCAATCCGTCCCCCTAGGGACTCTCTGCCAACAAATGCAAGTTAATTTAGCCCCTAGGTTGCTCTAACATGTCCTGAGCCAGAAAAAGACTCAGGGATCAACACTCCCTGATGGACTTCTGGTGTGACCACTACCCAGACAAGGAGACCGTGTTCACCTTTGTCCGGGTGAAGGGTCAACGGTCATTTCACTCCCAGTTGGATCGCATTTACGTTTCTTGTCATCATCTTTCCCAGGCCTGCTCCTCCAGCATTCAGCCAGCCCTACTCTCGGACCACCACTTGGTGGCTGTGACGGCCTCTCTTTCTTTGAAGAGGCCAAGGTTGGCCTACTGGCATTTCAACAACAGGTGTCTGGAGGATGTGGGCCTTGTAGCATCCTTCCAGGAGTTCTGGCTGGCCTGGCACAGCAGTGGTGGGATTTTGGGAAGGTGTGTGCACGGCTCTTCTGCCATGACTACACCTGGGGAACCAGCTGGCGGTGGGACTCAGTGATAGAACAGATGGAACAGGAGGTTTTAGAGCTGGACAGGCATCTGACCACCAGCCTCAGAGATTCATCCTTCTGAGGAATGTACCAGGAGAAGTGGGAGGAACTCCAGGCCATTGACGACCTTCGGGCCCGGGGCACCTTTGTTCATTCCTGCATCCATCTCCTCTGGGAGACAGGTTGTGGCTCCTGCTTTTTCTGTGCCCTGGAGAAAAAGCAGGGGGCTAAAAAGCACATCATTTGCTTTCTGGCAGATGATGGCATCCCCCTCACAGACCCTGGACTATGACCGGGGAGACTGGGTGGATCCTCTGGCACTTGCCCAGCGCATGGGGCTTTCTACTCTTCATACTCTCCGGCACTTACTTCAGGAGATGAAGGAAGCTTTGCTGCCTGCTGCTTGGGTTTACCTCAACTGGATCCTGCGAGAGGGCCATCCCGCTTACTCCTTACCCCTGGCTCTCTGGATCTCTCCATCACCCCCGGGCTCCACATGCCTTCCCAACCGCCTCCCCTTCATCACCCAAGCTGGCTACATACATTGCAGCCAGTCCTGTTTCGAACCACGCCAAAAAGTCATCTGAACACACTTATGCTTCACATCCTTCATTTCCCCACCCTCGTGTCCTGCCCAGATAACAAATGGTGGGACCTCCTACCACCAGTAGAGGGTGGGAAGCCCCCGTGAGACAGTCTTCACTCTACCTTGGTTCTATGGCCCACCAGGGACATCAGCTGGAGAATCCTCCACGGCGCTGTGAGCACGGACGTGTACTTGGCGCGGTTCACTCCTGTTCCTGACACTTGCCCCTTCTGTGGCATGAGGAAGACCTTGGCGCACATCTGCCTTGAGTACAACAGGTTACAGCCCCTCTTTCAGTTCCTCCAGAATCTCTTGTTAAGGTTCTGGCTGCACTTCTCCTCTCATCTATTCATTTATGCACACCCCATCCGTCGCAGGACCTCCTAGTCAGCCTCCTCCTGGCCACTGCCAAGATGGCAATTTACAGACCAGGGAGCAGAGGTTGGCTCAGGGAGGGGGCTGCGACTGGGGCCTATTTCCGTTTCTGTATCTGTTCACTCATCCAGGGAGAGTTCCACTTGGCAACATCAGCCAAGGATTTTGAGGAGCAGTGGGTGCTGCCTGGAGTTCTCTGCTCGGTGTCCCCGTCCGGTTCCCTCGTTTTAATCCTTTGACCTCCACACTCGTCCCTATTTTTCTCTTTATTTGTCCCTGTAATCACTTGGTATTCTGGACTCTATGAACCCTCCCTGTAGACTGGGGGGAGTCATTGAGATGTGGGCAGGCTTACACCTGCCCACCTCCCAGACTCCAGTAGGATTACTTTGTTATAGCCTTCTGCTCTGACCCTGTCACAGTTTGCATTGCCTAGCCCCCTGGCCTCAGTATCAGTTTGAGCCTGTTGATGTTACTGTATGTCATGAGTCATGCACTCCCATCCCCTTTTGAGATGGGATAAGGGTCATTAGAGCCCATGTCCAAGTCTGTGCAGCGTCTGTGGGTCCCAGAGTTGTGTTGCCTAAGAGCCAGAGCCAGTAGAGCTGCCCTCATAATCAGGATGGTGTGGCCTAAAGGTCAGAATCAACCGAACTACCTTCATGATCAGGTGGGCAGGGGAGCCTGAGCTCTTCCTCTCCCCCAGGTCCCAACCTTGGGCCCCATTATTGGCAGGAGTCCGCACATCAGCTCAGCAGGGATTCAGCCGAAACACGCCAAGCTGCTCTCTGGTTATACAACCATCTTCTCGCAAAGATTCCTTGGGTGGCTTCCTACCCACTTCTCTGTGACTCATCGCCTCAGGGTTCCCATGGTCCCTTCTCTCTCTGTGGCATCTGGAGCCTGGAACTTGTGGGTGGATGCCATCTGGCTGGCTGGCCATTGCATGCTGAAGTGCCAGCAGTCCATCAGCAGGAGCCTGGAGCACACCTCCTCCTTCTCCAATGGGCCACCCTAAATGAGCTGGGCTGCTCCCTTTCATACCTGCTCTCCAGCCCAAGAATGCCCAGCCGTGTTGAAGAGGCATGGCTTTCTCAGCCCAAAGAGAGGAATTAACCCTTCCAATCCAAGTGAACATATATACATATTAATGAAGATAATATTGGTTACTTCACCTTCAGTTCCTGGTGCCCCTATAGGAACAACAGATAAACTAAACATCAGAAGGAACGTGCATTGAGTCTTTGTCTGGCCCTATCGTGGTATGAGGCAGGTTAGGGAGATGAATTCTATGCCATTTATAGGATGAATACTCCCAAGGGTTGGTTAGAATACAGTTAGGTTGCATCTAGACTGGCAAGTTTTTGCGGAAAACTTTTGCCAGCTGTCTTCACTGGCCGCTTGAATTTCTGCAAGAACACTGACTTCCTACTGTCTGAAATCAATGCTTCTTGCAGAAATACTATACTGCTCCCGTTCGGGCAAAAGTCCTTTTGCGCAAAGCTTTTGCTCAAAAGGGCCAGTGTAGACAGCTCAGATTTGTTTTGCGCAAAAAAAGCCCTGATCGCGAAAATGGCAATCGGGGCTTTTTTGCGCAAAAGTGTGTCTAGATTGGCACAGATGCTTTTCCACAAAAAGTGCTTTTGCGGAAAAGTGTCTGTGCCAATCTAGATGCTCTTTTCCGAAAATGCTTTTAATGGAAAACTTTTCTGTTAAAAGGATTTGCGGAAAATCATGCCAGTCTAGAAGTAGCCTTAGAATGTTTGTTTTTAATACTTTTCCCATTATGCTTTGTTTTGAATCTTTTCATGTACGTAAAAGACAGCAACATACATTATAATCAAATGTGAGAAAAGAAGATGTTTCAAATGTCCCTTACACTCTTGAATAAAGTACTGTATAAAATACGCCTTGCCAACTGTACCATGAGCAACTCTCCAAAAGCCATGTAGGCCCACAAACTTGCTAATAAAATATAGTGGTTGTGATTCAAATCCCAGCATTTTAATGCAGTACACTTAGGTCCGTGAGATACAGCTGTTATTTTCGATTCTGTCTCTACAGGAATACTGTAATATCTTCCAAACCACTGCATGGTAAATGTAACTTCAATGTAAATTTTTCTCTGGATGCACAAGATGTGGAAATTCAAATAGGACCAATAGAATCTAAGTGAAAATATTTGTAAAGAGCTTCCTCAGGGAGAATGCCTTGCTTGCAAAGTCAGTTTTCACATTTGAGTTCTTTTGAAGTTTTAAATAAATGTTTTTCATTATCTTCAGGAAATTGAAATAAGGTTGAATATAAATTACACTTTCCAAATGAGTTTGAAGACCTCTTTAATCACATTGCAGCTAAATGAGCTGTCACATCGAATCAGTACACAACATGCATTGCTGCAATTTCCAATGTTAATTTGAGTTTAATATTCATATTAATTATGTAGCTACTGTTCTAAAAGAAATGCAATTGAAAAAATGTAATCTAGTTTCATCATTTTTGTTAAACAGAGCTTGACAGACCCTAAGTGGGTATTTTAAACAGGTTTGTTTTAACTTCTGGTTAACATAAGCACTTAGGCCATGTCTACATGAGGAAACTATTTCAAAATTATTAAATTTGGCTTAACTCCCAATTTAACAAATTCGAAATAGTGTGTCCTCACTATGGGGAAACATCAAAATTAATCCGAGACAGAGTCCATTAATGTGGACATGCTACCTCTGACTTAAAGCCCCAGGAAGCACTGGGGAGTAATTCGTTTGAATTACTCTGGGGAGTAGTTATTTCGAAATAGCGATACCGGAGCACTCACACTACCATTATTTCAAAATAACTATTTTGGAATTAGCATTATTCCTGATGAAATTCAGGAGTGCAGATTTCAAATTAAGTGGCCCATTATTTCGAAATAATGGGCTTGGTAATATGGAAACTCCATTTATAAATTCAACTTAAGGAGGGTTATTTCGAATAAAGTCCTAGTGTAAAATAGGACTAAGGCCATAATTCTGAAAGTGATAGTGCCCATGACTTGAAGTCAGTCAGCAGAGCAAATACATGGCTCTACTGGGCATGAAATCCAATTCCAGAATCTGGACTTTAAAAATATTTAGTGATAAAAATAAAGCTCAGATGAGCAGTCCAACTACTTTTGTTTTCTTTCCTTGACTAGGTGAGTCTCAGTTTTGTGACTGATTTTTTCAAAATTGTGAAGGACCATGTCACTGCATCTGATTCCTCCCTGGATTTCCTCTCTGTGCTCACAAAGGTAACATGGTCAAAAATGCTCTGTAGTGAGACTGTGAAGGTAGCGCAGAAAGTATGTGAAGCTGCTTTCTTGGTTGCATTCCTCTTTTACTGATGACTTGATCTAGACCATATACTACAGGTTGAACCTCCCCAGTCTGCGACTCTCTGGTCTGGCAAAGTCTGTGGCCTGCTGGACCACAGATGTTGCCTGACCAGTGAGCAGCAACCGCAGAGGTTGCACACACTTGGCAGCCCACAAGGCCAGTGGCCTGGGAGCGGGGGTGGTGGCTGGGAGCCCCATCAGCAGTGGGGGCAGAGCCCTGCCATAGCCAGAGTGAGGCCGGCCCAGAGAGAAGCCCCACTGGCCAGAGTCAGGCCAGCACAGAGAGAAGTCCTGCCGGCTGGAGCAGAGCCAGCAGCCGGGGGCAGGGAATCACAGAGGATCCTGGCCAGGGCAAGGAGCCCCACTGGCCAGAGGGGGGCCAGTGACCCATAGAAGAGTCCTACAAGGGGAAGCAGATCCTAGCAGGATTGCTAGGGTAGCACAGTGGCCAGGGACAGAAGAGCTCTAGGACAGCCAGAGACTTGACCTCCCCTGGTCCAGTCAATTCCGTAGTTCGGGACCACTCAGGTCCTGAGGGTGCCAGACCACGGAGATCCACCTGTAAGAGGAGTAAAGCTGTCCAATGGGAACTTCAGAGATACAAAAAACAGGACTATGTAGCACTTTAAAGACTAACAAAATGGTTTATTAGGTGATGTCTGGCCCACGAAAGCTCATCACCTAATAAACCATCTTGTTAGTCTTTAAGGTGCTACATAGTCCTGTTTTTTGTTTCAGCTAGACTAGACTAACACGGCTACGTCTCTATTACTATTCAGAGATACAGTCACTTTTCTTTCACTCAGTGAGTGAAATCCTGGCCCCACTGAAGTCAATGAGAGTTTGCGATTGATTTCACTGGGACCAAGATTTCACCCCCAATTTTTTAAGTGCTGCTGTGACCTTAGTATATTCCTAAACATGAGGCTATGCAAGGCTATTGTGTAGTCCAGCATCTTCTACTTTTTCCACAGTAAAGCCTCCAGACTCCAGATGCCCATAGAAATGCAAGAGTTGTGGCTGGATTCTTTAAGACATTAGTTTTCTTTCGCAAGTTTACTCTCAACTTCAGCCCATTTTCCCCTGTTACCATCAAATCTCAGGCAAAAAGTATCTTACAAAAACTATGAAAAGTAGATTGTTTACCCATTGTTTTGCCCCTCACTGCGACAGTCCTCTTTTTCAATCTTGTTAATCATCTAACTCCTTTATCTTGCAGTATTTCCAAGGTAACCTCTGCCAGACACACCAGATTTACTGCCTTCATTACACCTCTGCTGTCTTTTACTTGGAGAACCTGAAGCAGAGAGAAGATTTTGGAATCTATCTGAAAGTAAAGTGTTGGCTTTGCTGTCCTTATTCAGTCTTCAGCCATCCTAGCAATCCTTTCAAAACAGATTGCAAAAGCTATAGTCTAGTTTAAATAACAGCCTACGCCTTTTTTCATGAAATGCAAACAATACCACAGGTTTAAATATACTGGATGGTATCCTGGCTCCACTGAAGTCAATGGCAAAATTCCCATTGACACAAGCTCCTCCCGTGGCACCAGATTTTCATACACTACATTCATACGGTGCTTTTCTAATGGCAACTGCACCTTAAAGCAGATTCAATTAGTGCAACTTATAAAATGCAGAATAATTAGACATTAACAAGCTTCCAACAGGGGTAGGACAAGCAGTTGGGATATTTATCCAAACCTGTCCTATGTTACCTCCTATCGTGGGGTAGGAGCATCAGGTTGCCCAATATATAATGTCCTGGGCATGGAGCAGTTGACATTAACTAAGTACCTGATGCAATAATCCCTTCTTGGGAGTTCCCAACACGGGAGAAGGAAGGGGGGCAGAAGCCAAAATAACTGCCTATTTTAAGGGATTTGTTGGATTTTCTACCTTATATGATTTTCTCAAAGATCATACCATGTAACAAATCACAGAGCCTGTGACTTACATTGCACCTGCACTGCCACAGCAGTGAGGCTCCAAGTCTGGACCAACAGACTCGGCCTGATACCACACTAGAATTAGCTGCATCGTCCTTGCAGCTCAGGCTGATGCCCTGAAGACTAGGAGGAAAGTGGGTACGACAGACAAGGCTCCAGCCTATGTCTTAGCTTATGTGAGCTGTCTCCACCACTCTTTCTAGCATGATAGCCTGAGCCCTCAGGCCTAGGTTTGTCAAACCAGGGTCTAAGACTCGCTGCCGTGGGTTGTTGCTTTTGGGCCACACTCTGATCTGGTTACAGCCGCTGGTGACTCTCAGGAGTAGTTATGTGGGCTTCCGTGGGACCTATTCATATATGTAACTGCTGAATATAAACAGGGCTTCAAATAAAGACACAGCTTACGTGACAAAACCACCACATCAGCCTCTCCAGTTCACACAAAAGCCTCTTGAATCTCCTATTCTCCGGGTATGCCAACTCTTGGGAGTTTTATATAAGTCTCATGCTTTCTGGTGCTCTCATTGGAGCAGCAGCTCTTTGAGTCAAGTGACTATATGACAAACTCAGCTTTCTTTTTTAAAATGGAAACTTTTAGCTCTATTTTAGTGATCTTAAAAATAATAAATATGGGATCCATTTTATTTGCTTCTTATTTCTGAGCCTTTAGTATGTGTTCAGGCCACATCGGAACTTGCCATATAATCACTTGACTCTAGGATCTGCTGCTTTAAAGGGAATACCAAATAGATTGAGATTTATATAAATCTCCCAACTTGGTGCACCCAGGGCACATCTACACAGCAGTGTAAAAGTTGAGCTAAACTATACAATTTGAGCTACGTTAATTGCGCAGCAGACTTGGAAATAGCTTAATTCAGCTTTTGGCGCTGTCTACACAGCAGGAAGTGGAAGGAAGAACACTCTCCCTTCAACTTTCCTTACTTCTCATGAAATGAGGGTTACCATGAGTCAGAGACCTCCAGCTCGCCATTATTTCGAAATTATAATTTGAAGTGTAGACATGCTCTTTGTTATTTCATAATAACAGCGGTTATTCCAAAATAACGCTGCTGTGTAAACATAGACCCAAGGAATAACAGATTCAAGAGGCTTTTGTGTGAACTGGAGAGGTTGATGTGGTGGTTTTCTCACTTAAGCAGTGTCTTTATTTGAAGCCCTGTTTATATTCACATAGTTACATCAGCCTTTACAAGCACAAGATAAGATAAAGGCCTTTTTACTTCATCCTGAGCCTAAATTCTCTTTACAGAGGGAAGTTAAAAGGGGGTATTTTAACCAAGCTAACAGCACCAAACACACGACTGTAATGAAAGTGCAAGTTAGTGCTTTTGCTTGTTTTTGTGAGCCTCTGAGAAAAGTGGCATTAGGCTTGATTAAATTTGAGTGCACAGGATGGAACTAAAACAATAGCTCATGGATGTAAAAGTCATTTTTACCCCTTGAGATACAATAATACAAAAGGTATCTGAAACCACTTGGGAAGGAGAGAGAAATTGGGAGGCTGACACAACAATACTACATTTAGTGGCTTGGCTTTTCCCTGTCGTGTAATTGTATTTCTATGGACTTGACCTAAACTCTTTCCAAGCCTGAAGAGTTATTGTATGTGGACTTCTAAAGTGAGCAGAAATAGTCAAATTCTGCTCTTAGTTACTCCGCATGTATCAGAAATCACTGATGCTGAGCCAGATTTACTCTAACCAAATGTAGCCCATAGATTGCATGGGCTACGGCCCTGCTATGGCCCTGTCACTTCTATTTATCTTAAGCATCACACAGAACATTAGCACTACATAAATACTAAATAATGGTCATCAACATTTCAAGCTCGCTCAGCTTTCAGATTTTACTCTATTTAAACGTGAAAAATGAGCTCACTGTTATAGCCAGGTATCTTGGTGTAACCAGGTATCCTGGTGTAGCCAGGTATCCTGCACCCACTAGTGGTATTTGGGGTCTGACTAGCTCTAGTACCACCAGAAGCCCTGCAGGGCCAACAGACACATATCTGGGGGCACAACTCACCCTGTTGGAGAGGAAATGGCTCTGGAGGAACCTGGATTGAGATTGTTCTTGATGAGAGCCAATGGCATAGGATTGTAGTACTAGGAATTAGTAAAACCTGAAATGTGAAGTTATCTATAACAAAGATTAACCTGTGCAATGGATTCAGCTCCTCTTGAAGAGAGAGCAGGGTTCCATTGACTTCACTAGGAACTGACCTGGCTTCCTCATAAGCGGATCCCCATTACATTTCAGTTTCAATCGGCTGATGTTGCAGCTAATTGTTTTTTAAGTCCTTTATGAGAAAGCACCCAAGGTTGTGGATCCTCAAACAGGCTTCCTTTCTATTCAGTAGTGGTGTGAACAGAAGGAACAGTGCAACCGACTACACCTACCAGAACTGCTGGTGGCTCCTTTACACAGACTAACCCGCTATCCCCTGCTCCTTTACAACATCTGGAAGAGAAGCAGTGATGCAACACAGAAAGCCTCCATCCACTCGATTAAGGAAAAAGTGGAAAAGTCTATACGTAAGTAGATCAAAAGTCAAGTTCTGTGTTCAGCAATTTCTCTGAGGGTTTGTGCACTTGAGATTCAAATGTAAATGAGTTTTTTTACTATGTGAAGATGTGATAGGTGGCATGAAAAACTCATTGCAATCTCTTCAAGGCCTTTTCTTTTTCTCAAAATTATCTAGTACCATTTTCATATTGTCAAAGTCTCCTCTCAAGAGGGAAATGCAGGGCATAAATCTGTTACTCATATTTGCAGAGAATTAGGGTTGCTAGATGGATTAACAAAAAATACTGAACACACACACCACCAAAAACAACAACAACACCAGGAAAAAATTCTGTTGAGGATAAAAAAAAAAGGTGGGGGAGACCAAATTGTTGAGAAAAAAAAAGGTGCTGAGCCTTACCCTGGGAGGGGGAGAGAGCTTGTACCACATCTTACACTACTCCATCTTACACTAGCACCATCTAATTCAGGGGTGGCCAACCAGTTAAGACACAAAGAGCCAAAAGAGCTGTGGATAGTAGTGCAAAGAGCCACACACCCCTCCCCCAGAGCCAGGCCCCCCACAGCATCTCCCATCCCAGTACACTCATCCGTGCCTCAGAGCAAATCACCCTCTCCCTACGGAGCCAGGCATCGGAGGAACGGGACAGCTGGGTAAGGAAATGTTACTTTTAAAGTCACCGCTCCTGTCGCCTGGCCCAGCTGCCTCGGCTCACAGTGTGTGTAGAGGGAGGCATCACGTGGCTAGCTCCGGGGTCTCTGCTCAAAGGGTCATGTGGGCCAGAGCAGCGAGCACTCCGCTCCCACCCCAGCCCAGCGCCCACCTAGTGTGATGCCTGGCAAGTGCCTCCTTCTACCACCCCTTCGCTACGCCTCTGCCGTGCTTCTCACTCCCCCGCCCCCGCCAGATGCGGCAGGGGAAAATTGTCCCCGCCGGGCTTCCATCCCAGGGAAACAGGAAATGCCAGACATTTCACATGTCTGGTATTTTCTGGGTTTTTTTTTTTTACTGGACTGGGCACCCAAATAACGGACAGTCCGGGTGAATACCGGTCACTTGGCAACCCTACAGAGAATCACTTGCATTGTTGTGTGAACAGCAGAGAGCCGTTCACAAATAGGAACAAATCAGGGAAAATCTCAAAGAGATCTCTGAGATAGAGTCAGGTCTAGCAAGGGTACAACATGGTTTAATCCTTAAAAGAATAAAATTCCACCCAGAAGGGGCATATTATGCCAACAACTTTTCTCAGAGTGACAGTCTTAATATGTGAGATACTTAGAGATCTTTCTCCAGCTTGTGTAGGAAAAAATGGATGGGGTTTTATGCTGGATTCTATTTTACATACATCTATTAATTCAGTCATTCCCTGGAATGCACAATTTGCAGCTGTACATTTCTTATAGATAGGAAGTTCGTTGTAAGACAAACTTATTCTCCAGTGCCCCAGTCCAACTCCCATTGGAGTCAATGAGGGAGTAGCATTCAACAGAAAATGAATACAGCTATAGGCATAAGCCTGACACTTGATCTCAGCCCAGGCTTACAATCCAGGAAGTGACTTTGAGCCACTTGGCCTATGTGCCTTCCTGTCCTCATCTTTAAAGCAAGGACACCACAACTTACCTGCTTTGTTGGGCAGCGTGAGGGATAATTTTACCTTCAGTGTTCCCTGAAGCATTGTGCGCAAAATGGCTGTGCATTCAAAATTAGGAGTCAAACTGAAGTTTTGCCCTTTCAGGCCCTGATTTTGCAGTCTGAGGCCAGCTCGACACTGGGGGGAGAAATTCAATTTAAGAGCTGCAACTCCCACTATGAGAATAGTGTAGCAGGAGTCTATATTCTTTTCATTGAATTTCTAGGGTAGCCCCATAGCAGGACAAACTCTTGCATCAACTTCCCTAACTCCTCACAACTCCGAGGAGTACCGGGGTCAACGGGGGCACCCTCAGCATTTGATTTAGTAGGTCCTTACTTCTTCTTAAACCTTTGTACTCCGAGTGGAGCATAGGTCATCTACAAGTCTCCTCCATTTCACTCTGTTTCAAGACAAAACTTCTAGCTGACTCCAGGAGTACCCCAGTTGTTGTCCTTCAATCTCAGTAGATCTTCTCCACTTTGTCCGAAGTCTTCCTCTTTTGCATTTTCCTTGTGGGTTTCATGTGAGAGCTTGATGGACTATGCTGGATGATGGTTTTCTGAGAGTATGGCCTAGCCATCCCCACTTTCTTCTCTTGATTTGAACTTCAAGTGGTTCTTGTCCTACTCTGGTCCTTACTAGTCCCACTTAATAAAACCCCAAGAGATCGCTATCCAGAGCTCTGATTCCAGGTAAGTGTAGACACAGCCTCAGGCATGTGCTTCACTTTACAGACTGAGTAGACCTCCTGAGTTTTAGTCCTGTCCTTTAATCATAAACCCATCCTTCCTTTTAATGTTTTTTCTTAAAGACACTCATTGATTCCAATAGCTTTTGAACCAAGAATTTACCCTAAATTAAAACAGTAAAGAACTTGCTCATGATATTAGAGACCAATTTGGAATAGCAGCTTTTTTTAATTGATGTTTAAGACAAAAACGTAAGTGAATCTTTAGAGTCATGCATATTTTAAATATCTGGTAATATGACACCCAGTCGATCACATCAGTGTATTCAAATCTGTTTAAAGACACAAGGTGAAATCCTGGCTTCACTGAAATCAAGGCAAGTTTTGCAATTGAGCTCAATGGAGCCAGGATTTCACCCATGGCTTACAGTGTAAGCTTTGGGCCAACCTTGCAAGCCCCAGAAACCAAATCCTCAAAGGATTTGGGGCAGTTATTTCTGTGCTGGGATCCTGGGCTCCAACCTTGACTGCTGAGGCCTTGGTCCCACTAACCTTGGGCATCCCCATAGGCACTGTACTTACACAGACATCCAGAAGCAGATACACTTTCAACTGAGTTCCATTAACTCCGCTTCCACCCAGCTCCCCAGACTTGCACCACCAGCATCTATTGACTTGCCCTGGTCAGTAACCTGACCAGTGTAAGTTTATTACCTACTCTATCTCTTCTTCAATGTGGAGAGGACATATGTAACCTGGGCTAAGATTTTTCAAGAACTTTCACCAAACCACACTGTTTTAGGCACAATATATAACAGATTTATTAACTACAGAAAGCTAATCACTTAAGTGATTGTAGTCGCAACCATAGAGATCAAAGTTGCTTACCTATGAAATAAAAATAAGTGTACAGTTTGAGTTCTACCAACTAAAGAGGATTTGAACCAAGCAGTTTCTCACCCTGACAGATGGTACAAATAGGTCACAGATCTTCAATATACAGGCTGGAACTCTCCTCCAAGCTTGGCTCACACTTCCCAGTTCATTGCCCTCCAGATGTGTTTCCAGGTGTTGAGTTGTAGCAGGAGTGAGGCCAAGTGATGATGTCACTTCCCCTTTTGTATTGTTTCTTCCAGTTTGCTGGAAAGAGCTTTGCTTCTGACATAGGGGTCTGCCTCCATTGGGCAAGCAGCCTTCATTGTACATGCCCTCTCTCTGAGAAGTCTCCATTGTATACAGTTCCTAGGATAGTAGAATCTCTTCAGTGGGCCATAGCATGACTGGCTACTCCATTGTTGTACCTGAAAGGCTGGTTGTGAGTATTCCCAACAATCACAACATACTTCAGTAGCACACACATAACAAAACTTCATAACTTCCCACACAACGATACCTCATGCAATCCAACAGGATTAATGTTCAACAGCTCAAGAGTTTTAAAATGATATTACACAAATCATACTTCGTACAAAACATCATAATCACATAATAGTGATGAATATGGAGGTTCCAGAGTGCTGTTTTTGGATAAGGAGTGCCACAAACTTCCACTGGAATTGTTGAGAGTCAGACATTTAAATACTTTTGAGTATCCACTGCAGTCTAGCATTGTTAAGGGCATTCAACATCTCCCAAGTTTGGGACCATTGTTGTCAGCCATGGGGATAATTGACATTTTGTATTTTTCAGGAGATCTTGAAGGTAAAGTAAAATGGCTGGACAATTTTCAGAAATTTAGGCAGCTACAGGAGATTATAATTTGGCCTCCACTTTGGGACCGTGACAAAAGGTTCTTTATCCCAGAGGCAAGTATGGTATTTATATGTTATCCTCAGAACTTTTTCTTTGAAAAAAAAAAATTTATCCATGCTGCTTACTCCAGGGAGCTGAAGAAGTATCCCAAACCAAGAATAATATAGGTTATATGCAAATATTACTTATTGTTATTCTCTTATTAGCTGGGTTTCGAGATAGAGTTGTGCAAAACTGTTCACCTTCTTCACTCCCTGAGATGAGCCAAAGAAATTCACATTAGCATTTAAATAATGTAAAAACATGAATTTTCCATGAGAATGTGTTCTGCTTTCTGCTGAGGTGACCTGTGACCTCCCCTTGACTTTGAAGCCTGCCTTTAAGTAATGTTATGGTACAGTCATTAAATGGAGCTTACCTTGATGTTCATTAAATTTACTCTAAAGAAAGTGATCCCAGTTCGACTTTTCAAAGAATTAAAATTGTTTAATCCATATGTTCTGGTGGTGGCGGGGGGGGGGGGGGGGGGGGGGACCCCATGGCCATGCTCAGCTGGTAGCTGATTGGCATGCTTAGTTTGATATAAACTTTAATATCTTACAAATATGAAGAGTACTTCTCAGACTCATTAACAACTGGCTAATTTCCGGTTTTTAGTCATATTTGTGTGATTCTTTTTTCTATTTTTTCTTCCAAGTATCTGAAACATATTTTAAGAGAGAACATGAGTGAAAATATCTTGTCTTCCAACACCAGAGAGCTTCTTCGGGAAGGGAGGTTAACTCTTGCAGGTAAATGCCATTTTACTCACATGCCAGCAGTACAGCACCGTATTCTGTACGGGCAGTACTGCACAGATCTGTGCCCCACTGATTAATTAGAAATATGGATCAAAGAAAAACAAATATACAACATGTCATACGGTAAGAGAGAACCAGCTAAACTGTCAAGAGGAGAGTAATCTGTGTGCTTGGTTATTGTTGCATCTGGGTGGTAAACATGCCAAATGTTGATGGAATCAGCTTGATTGGCCAATATCCAAATTTCAAAGAGGGTTTTTTTATTGTGCTATTTTAGATTGTGGCTCAGGGAACCCTGATGAAGTTGAGACTGCTCTGTTCAAAAGGGTCTTTGTTATTGTATGGTTGATACATGCAGCTCTGAAGCATCCATTGCTGTATTAGTGTGGAGGCTCCATACACAAGATTAAGGAAAGAATCAAAAGGCTAATTTTTTTCATCTGTCCCATGTTAAACACAACCTTTCTATGGGATTAGCCTTGGTGGATGGCTCAAGGGAGGAAGGTGATACCATGCTAGATCGTTTCTGCTATTAATGAGGCAAAGTTTATTGAAATGGGGGAGCCATGAAAGGATCTCACCAGTGACACAGTTGTACCCAGCTGCAGTATCTCACAGTGTTGGAACACATCTTTCATGGCAATCCTAATAGCATCACAGCGTGCTGCTATGGTACAACGTCATATCACTGCAACAAAGCATCACATTATAGGGACGTGCAGGTTTGTCTCATTGGATGAAGAAGGCAATATCTCTATCTGACCATGCTCATCCCTACCAGAGTGTGACGTGGACACTGGGCAGTACCAGCATCCCTGTCCTTAACCACATGCCAAGAAGACCAAGAACAGAAGAGGCACAGAGAAGTGGGATAAAGAGCCCAGTGTTGGTGTAAGCATGAGAAAAAAGTTTGCATTTTAAAATACCCTAATTAGTGCAGCCATGCACTGAGGCAAAGAGAATAAAGCAGAGAAGTTGTGATTCAGCTTTCTCCTGTCCTCACAATCATCATTATAAACTGGGGCTGATGGGACCAGACCAAGATTTCCCCTTCCTCCACAGACATAGTCCAGGCACAGGGAGATGAAGATGTAAGGCTGTAGAAGAACAGGCACAATTCTGAAGACACAAATTAATACTGTTACTTTTTAACTTACAAAAATTCACTGCTACTGTTTGGAAGGGTCTGGAGGAAGGGGGCAGAGCTTCTTTATTTTTTTAATTTTTTTTTAATCTAGCTCTTCCTCTCATCTCCAAAACTTCAGCCAGCAACCCCCATCACCTGAGAGATCCACTGCTGATGAGATAAAGAACTGGGACTTATCACTAATCTGCATTTCTTACAGGAATAAATTTGGGTTGAAGACAGATAGGATGGCACAGCCATATCTTGCAGAAATAAGTTTACAGCGTCAACTTATTTGAGCTAATATAAGCAATTTGAGAAAGTGCATGGTTTGGCACTATTTCTCGATCTTGTCAATTTCAAAATGAAAAAAACCCCACATAATTCTAACCAAGATGAGATGCTGAAAATGGGAAAGAAGCATTTGCTAAAGCTATGGATTTAATAAAACACAATCTAATATTGAAGTGTGCTGTGCATCTCCAAGCCCAAGGTCTATACCCTGAGGTGTCCGGCATTTTTACTTTGGGATAATTCTCTCAAATCTGGGTTGTTTCTTATTATGCCTTGAAACCAAAAGGCAAATGAGTAAATTGTTAATCATAGCTTCCATCCTAAGAAACAGGTTTACTTCACTTAGACATTCTGTGACTAAAAATGTCTCCTCCTTCTACCATAATAAAATAATGTGATCAAAACCATATGTGAAAGTTGTATAGGGAATCAGAAGCAGACAGACAAGAACCCAGAAATCCCAACTGGAGCCTGAAATGCCATCTCAGCATAATGCCCTACACATGAATACTAGGGATGGTATGTGGAAGATGCAGTTCTTCATAGCTGGCAGACAGCTGTGTGATTCATGGATAAAGTCAGGCTGGCCACAAATCTCACCACCTTCAAAACAAAAACCTCAATTCCCAGCAGCAAGTGGAGACAAAGGATCAATTATCCTCATGTTGTTATAGGTAGAAGAAATACATGCTGACCATACTTCTCCCCAGCATATTAGCTACAGCCATTGTAGAAATGATAAGACAATGAGGAGCAAAAGTACCTACTATACATTGGCTAAAACATAATAGATTAACTACTGTACATAGAGTAGACGGACTCTATCTTACAGCAAATAATTTACATCAGTATAATCCAGGTAACACTAGGGCTGTGTCTACACTGGCCACTTATTCCGGAAAAGCAGCCTCTTTTCTGGAATAACTTGCCAGCTGTTTACACTGGCCGCTTGCTTTTCCGGAAAAGCAATGACGATCTAATGTAAAATCGTCATTGTTTTTCCGGAAAAACTATGCTGCTCCCGTTCAGGCAAAAGTCCTTTTCCGGAAAAACTGTTCTGGAAAAGGGCCAGTGTAGACAGCACAGTAGTCTTTTCTGCAAAAAAGCCCCGATCGCGAAAATGACGATCGGGGCTTTTTTGCGGAAAAGCGCGTCTACATTGGCCATGGACGCTTTTCCGGAAAAAGTGCTTTTCCGGAAAAGCATCCTGCCAATGTAGATGCGCTTTTTCCGGAAATACTTATAACGGAAAACTGTTCCGTTTTAAGCATTTCCGGAAAAGGGTGCCAGTGTAGACATAGCCTATGTGATCAAATATAATCCACTGCTAAGCATGAAGGAACTATGTCAAAAATTACACCAGAGTCTTAATATGATACAGGGGCTTTAAGAAGCCCAAGAAAAAGGAAGTTTTAAATAAACAAGACCAGGGACTCTCGTGTTACTGCGGCTGTTTGTAGTTTCCTGAATTCCTGGTGAGATAAAGGAGAGGTCTCATGGTAGCTCCTATAACCTTCCAGCCAAGTCACTGATTAACCAACATGCACTAGGTTCACTTGCCTAGGGCCCCCATCTCAGGAGTAACCTGACCATCCCAAGGAAAAGCAACACACACAAACTGCCGAGGCCAGGATGCAGGAGGGTGTGGCATTGGGTGTACACTGTGTCAAGAGCCACTGCAGGATAAGAGTTATTATGGGATAAGTGCATGAAGGACACCTGGTTTTCCCCAGAGTTATTATGGGATAAGTGCATGAAGGACACCTGTTTTCCCCGAAAGAGGCTTTTCCACCATTTGGCCCCATCTACATGGGGCCAAATGTCAGGGGAAAAAACCCTCTTTCAAAAGCCTCTGTTAACCTCATTTTACGAGGAAGAAGGGGGCTTTCAATTGAGGATTTTATGAGGAAGAAGGGGGCTTTCAATTGAGAGGGGTGTTCTGACATTTGGCCCCACGTAGACAGGGACAAATGGCGGAGAAGACTCTCCCGGGGGGAAAAAAACAGAAGAAGGAATGCAAATACGAGTGCTATTTGCATACCTCTTCGAAAAAATAACACACAGTGTTGCCGTACCCTGAGTGGCATCATGAAGGAACAAGTGGGTGAGACTGTACAAGTATTTTTAAGGGATCCAGATGAACCCTGGAATTTTCCCTCATTATGTATTTGCAGATGCCATAGGGTATTCCCTAGCGCCCCATAAATGAGTTGTGTGCTCGACAGCATGCTGCTCTTTGTAGCTGTGTTCAAAGATATTCTAAATATGATCTGACTTATTTTGGTAATGAGAAACTGCTGGTCTTTTAGCATAATGTGGCTCCAATGTGCCATTATTATGAATGGCCAAAATGACAAAGCAAAATGCCTTTCATGTCTGGAGTGTGTGAGAATACAAAAGAGATTGTGAGTGGCCTGTTTAAAATGTGCCACATTACACCGATCTGCTTAGAATAGGAATTGCAGTGACTCAGAACAATCATACTACTCTTTGTTTTTCTCCTCAGAAAGTACACGGATCCTTGATGTCTACCTCTTTCTATTCAATGATTTCCTATTAATTACCAAAACTAAACGTAACAAAAAGGTAACAATGGGCAGAAACAGTCACACTTACTGTACGTGTTTTTTGCAGCCTGGAAAATATTTATGCCAGTATATTGGAAGAATTATTTTTAGGAGAAAAATGCAAGTGGAATAATGCATATGAAGGATGGTGATAGTTTTGTATATAAATAGCAAGCAGTAAAACACCCCATTGTAGTTCTTCAGAAGTGTTTTTATGACAGATGTGTATAAAGATGAAACAAAATACAGGACTATGTAGCACTTTAAAGACTAACAAGATGGTTTATTAGATGATGAGCTTTCGTGGGCCAGACCCACTTCCTCAGTGGGATCCCATAATTTTTTAAAATTGTATCCTTTGGTATATATGGTTGTGACTATTTTCTTCCGCTATTTGATCTGAGGAAGTGGGTCTGGCCCACGAAAGCTCATCATCTAATAAACCATCTTGTTAGTCTTTAAAGTGCTACATAGTCCTGTATTTTGTTTCAGCTACACCAGACTAACACGGCTACATCTCTATCACTATTCTACATGCAAGTGTATAAAGATATGATGTTATAGAGCTGATATGGTGTCCAAGGTTTGCATTACTGGATATTTGTTTAATTCCTTTATCATTCCCCCATTCCCATACCCTACATACTGGATCTCTAAAGCCAGCTACTTCTTCTGAAGTGTTCTGAGCACTATAATGGTACATGTCAATCATACACTTCCAGTCTTTTATAGAAAGAATATCAGAAATCAGAACATTTGGGAGCCACTGAGGAAAAAGCACAGGGAAATGGTGAAAAAATGAACCTAATTGAAAGAATAGCAACATACTCAGAAGCTCTGGATTCTACCTCTGGCTCTGCCACTGCCTTCTCCAGGCACAAAATGGGAGTAATGATACCTCCTTTGTAAGACACTTTTAGATCTGCTGCTGAAGCCACTCTATAAAAGCTTGGTATTGTTAATTATTCACTGCCACCAAACAGGCATTTGGCAATTGAGCCTCCAGTATCTGGGAATACAAAGGCAGTGAAATGTATGAAGATCATTTAATGGCGTAGAAAAGATAACAAGCTGTATGTGGCGCAATAGATTATTGCAGGAGACACTGTCTGAATTGGAAGTGGTTTTTAACAGACAGCAGTTATCACATTGTATAGACACAGGTTAGAGTCTATGCCAGCCACAACATTCCCAGTCATGTGGCTCTCACCAGGGTGGGTACATGTACCCTTGGTGGCACACAGATGTTTTCCAGGGGTACATCAACTCATGTAGATATTTCCCTAGTTTTACAACACACTACCTAAGATGCACTAGTGAATTCAGTACAGAGTAACATTTCATACAGACAAAATGAGAAAGTCAGAAATTGTTCAGTAATAGTGTGCTGTGACACTCATGTCTGAGTTTGTAAGCCAGTAGTGAGGTGAAAATTGGGGTATACAAAACAAATCAGATCCCCTGAAAGGGATATAATAGTCTGGAAAGGGTGAGAACCACTGCTCTGCTTGCACATGCCCCAGGAGGGTTTGCCCTAGGTATGCGTGAATCAGTTTCAGACATACTGCATCAACTGTGTGGCCCTTTGCAAATTCTTCATTACAGATATCAGTAGTGAGCCGCCTATATGGACTGCACAGGATTCTACTCTAGGATTGATAAACCCACAAGTGTGAAGAAACTAGTAACCTGTATTAAACAAGGCATTTGAAAAATAACTAGGATTGTTTGTTTTGTGCAGTTGGGCTTAACTTTGACTTTTAATCTGCAGGTTAGCTGCATACTTTGGAGGTTGTTCAGGCAATAACAATTTTTTTGAGGCTTAATAGCTATGTAAGGCCTCTGAGAACATTCTGCAGGGAAAATAAATTGTGAGAGATGTTTATTGGTCAGCATTCATAGGAGTTTGGTAAATATCTAATCAAGTGCTTTTCCTTCCCACTTTCAGAAATACGGGGGCTCAGACACAGGCTTAATACCTGTATGCCCTTCCTTTTCTCCTGAACTGCAGTCTTTGATAAAAGATGGTGGTTCTTGTACAGTCCTGGACCAGCCCATTCCACTAGACAGACTGACACTCAAAACTATTGATCCATTCCATGTAACAGGTATGTTTAACATGTGTTTTGTATGGCAGTGTTCTATGCACAGTGTAGACAGAGAACCCCTGGCCTTTCCACCACAGGCATCCACTCACGTCCTTTCTGTCCCAACACAGAAGACTCCTAAGGGAGGTCTGCTACCAGAGAGCTCCCATGAGAGTCATTACCTCCTGAATCATGGGAGCAGGGAGTGGGGGGAGGAAGCCTTGGGAGGAAGCCTTGCAAGCCCCTGGAGCCTTATCTATTACAGTTGAACCTCTCTCATCCGGGATTCTTTGGTCTGGGAGGACCACAAATGTTGCTAGACCAGAGAGCCCCAGCCAAAGAGGTTGAGAGCAGCTGGGAGCAGAGCAGGTATTTGATACTAGACCGTATGGCCAGTGACTTGGGGGCAGAGGGCCCCAGGAGAGCTGCCATCCCACGGGAGATGGAGGCAGGGAGCCCCAAGAGCAAATGCCGCCTCGTGTGGCTGAGGGCAGGATACCCTGGGAGTAGCTGCTGCCCTGGCCTGAGCCAGGCAACTAGGAGCAGCTGCCGCACCGTATGGAGCTGGGGGCAAGGAACAAAGCTCCGGGAGCAGGCTAGGAGCAGCAGAGCTGGGAAGGTGGGCCATAGGAGATCAGGCCTTCTGGATTCTCCCGGGGTGGCAGCCAGAAGGGGAACCCCTGGAGAATCTGGAAGCCTGATCTCCCCTAATTTGGCAAACTCCCTTGTTCGGGACCGCTCAGGTCCCAAGGGTGCCAGACCAGGGTGATCCAACCTGCATAACTTGTCTGTTTTTTCCTCTGGCTCTGGAGAGAAGGAGATTCCTATAGAGAGTGGCCAACTTTGTTCCTTGGTAAGTGACTCTTGAGCAGGGCTACTCAACACACAGCCTGTGGGCCATTTGTTTGCGGCCTGCGGTGCAGTTTGGGTTTACACAGGGCTCAACACACAGCCTACAGGTGGGATCCTTTGAACATGGTCTCCACAGAGAACACACTCCACAATGGTGAGGCATCTTCCAAGTAGGGTGAGCACTGAAAGATGCAAGTGGACTGGCTGGCTGGAACAGATGGGTACAGGGTGTCAGCGTTTCTAGCTCCCAGAGGGGAGATGCCAGGAGTGCTGGGGCATTGTGGGAAGTGCTTTGTATTCATGCCCGTCAGTGTGAAAGAAGCTATTTGCATATATTTGTGTATATATTTGCACGTAAATGCAACTGCACTTACGTTGAGGTCCTTGGCACGTGTTGTGAGTATCATTGTGGCCCCCAGGGCTTCCAAAGTTGAGTAGCCCTGCTCTAGAGTTTTGGGAGGAGAGTTGACCACTAATGTTGTCCTAAGTTTAGAGCCTGTTAGAGCCCAATGTTGGGCTATACAGAATAGAAATAACACACGGTCATCTGATAAAAATATTTCAGTCCCACACACAAGTCAACTGGCAAAATCTTATTGCTTGTCCACCAAGCAAGCTAGTCTCCCAAATCCACAGCTATTAAAAACAAACCTGAAACCCACAGAATTTATTTTAGCCTTGAAGTTCATCCATCTTGACTCATCAGCATGCCATGTGCTGCCAAGCCAGACAGCAAAGAGAATAAATATAACTAAAAATGAGATAAAAGCACCAGCATCAGAAATAAAAAACCAGTGGCTTCTTCAGCCTGCTGCAGACTTTGTCTCTTTGTGTGTGTGTCTAAATGCATCTCCCTACCAACACAGCCTAAAGCCAGCAAACGAATTACCTGTAGCTTGCAGCGTAGCTAGTAGGTGAAGAAAAGGGCAACATCTGCCTCTGATCTTGGGTGCCCTAGTTGGGCATACACAGATTCTTGTTTCTCAAGAAACATCTTGGGCATGTAATGTGTAATTCTATGAGCTCGACTATTGCAATGAAATGAAATGTTTGCCAGTGTACCATACTCCAGCTATACAGTGAGTGCTTGATCAGAGTCCGCGTAAAAGCTGCAGCAACCTCAAAACTCATCTTTCTCACCAACAGAAGTTTGCCCAATCCACCTTTTCTCTCTAATAACCTGGGGCCAACAGAGCTACAACAATACCACATTTCATCTTTGTAATTTATTGGCAGGACTTTATAGGTAATATTCTGACGTGGATCCAAAATTCAGTAATTAAAGTGAGTATCATTAAGTTTCTCCCTACAAATGGCTGATTTTCAGGTCAACAGTTAAACACGGCCCCAGAAGATCCTGATTTGTGGGAGAGTAAATCTTCTTTGGGGGTCAGGAGGACTTGCATTACCCCAATTGTTGACAATCCGTGATAGCTCAGTGGGGCTTATATTCACTGCTTCTAACTAAATATATACATTAAAACCCCTGCATCCTTTCATAATATCCTGCAAACCATCTGCCTTGTCTACTGTCATGCACACAAGTCTTGTCAATCAGACTCACTCACTACCAAAAGTGTCTTTGAAATTCTTATTAAGAACTACCCTGGTAGTTTATGTGATTTGCAGGAGATTTTTTTCATGGGCTTTTTCCAGGATTAGTCATATGGGCTGGCATAACACTAGCAGTAGGAAGTCTGAGATTAGTGCAAGGACAACTGGATGGGAGAAGATATAGAATCATAGAATAATAGGACTGGAAGGGACCTCGAGAGGTCATCGAGTCCAGCCCCCCGCCCTCAAGGCAGGACCATGAGCTACCGAGTCCAGCCCCCCGCCCTCAAAGCAGGACCATGAGCTACTCCATCAGATATTTTCTAGTTGTGGGGACTGAAGCTTGTGAGGATCCATTTGGGACCTTTGCAGCGGGAGTGATTCATTTGCCTGTGATCTGGAAAATGATGTCACAGAGCTCACCCATACTCCCTCATGGTTTGGCAGTGGGCTTTTTAGGAGTTACGTAACTGGCTGGTATTGGCGTTAGAGGGTAGAACCTTTAAAACTTCAGCTGATTCCTACGGCAGTTAAGGAACGGCCTGCACATAGCACTGTCACTAGGACAGGCATTTTTATATAATTTGCTAATGATTTAAGAAAATATTTTATGTGTCCAATGTTATTAAGTGGTTCCCCACATAGGTTTTGAAATCTGTACCCCCATTGAAGTGGATGTGGTAGGGGAGTTCTCAGCAGCTAGAGAGGATGTTCTGCCAGGCTGAACTAACAGCAGCAGCAGCACAGAGGACTGCACTGTAAGTGTACGTCTAGACTACAAGCCTCTTTCGAAAGAGGCTTTTTTGAAAAAATACTTTCGAAAAAGCCTCTTTAGAAAAAGATTGTCTAGACTACAAGCAGATTTTTTGAAAAAGCAAGCTGCTCTTTCGAAAGAGAGTCTAGATGCTCTCTTTCGAAAAAGCACAGTTTGCATTCAATAGCGCCTTTTTTTGAAAGAGTATTTTCAAAAAAAGGCGTTATTCCTCGTAAAATGAGGTTTACCGCGATCAAAAAAACTGCCGCGTTCTTTCGATTTACTTTTGAAAGAACATGGCTGCAGTCTAGATGCAGGTGAAGTTTTTTTCGAAAAAACCCTGTAGTCTAGATACACCCTGAGAGTTGTACCCTTGCAACAGAAAAAGGAGATGTGGGGGAGGGGACGTGGCGGGTATTTTAAAAATTGGAATCTTAGACTATACTGAATATCGCAGGCACACCCAAAAGTAGCAGGATTCAAAATTTCCTCTCAGTTTAGACTGCAATGCTAAGGGAGCTGGTGGGGACAATTTGGCTGCACATGTTAATGAGGTATTTATAATCCCTTCTAAGAAAGCTGTCTCTGCAGTGATCTGAGAGGAGCAGATGCTGTACCTCTCATGCAGCATGGAAGAATATTTAATGGGGATTTGATAAATTCTGATAAACCACTCTCCATATTCCAGAAGCAGCATTTAATCCAGGGCTGCTTTATTTTCATATTTTCTCCCACCCTCAAGCCTACCAGAGCACATGCTGCTTTTTACAGATTGTGTCTGCAGCTGCTTTTATTTGAATTGTGGAAGTGCCAAGGATGACAGCCCTAGTCCAGGGCCCCATTGTGTTAGCTGCTGTGCAAACACAGAAAGGGATGAGCAGGCCGGGAAGAGATTACCTGCAACCATCTGTGATCTGACCTTGATGTTTTAAAAAAAATCCATTGGAAGACTCTCTTTCTTTAAACAATGAACTGAGAAGGGAAATGTTCAGCCCTAAATGTAAAGGTCCTAAAAAGTTGGGAGCTTTCGAAAATGGGGAATGAAAATGATGCAGCCTTCAGGATAGCATTCACTGCTGGTAACTTTGGAGTGTTTAATATTTTGAGAAATGCTCCCAGAGCTGTATTTTTATTGGGCTGTGCAGTGGTCATATTAATCACAGTTGGAAGCTTGATTTTTAATCTAATAAATACAGCACATCGGTGATATTACTGAAGGCAGGTCCTGTCCTAGAAAAAATTCCAGCTGACTACAGAAATATTATATTGCAAAAGGAAGGAAGTGCTCTTCAGAGCAGAATTCTGTCAGAGGACAACAGCTCTGCAATTACACAGCCTAATTCTAGCCTCAAGCACACCACATATCAGTGCAATGATAAGCAGTCTTACTGTCATAATGCTAGGAAGCCTGTCCTAAAGGCAAAGCTATACTCAAATACCAGGGCCATGTACTAGAGATAGAAGTGTAATAGTGGAAATCTGTCTTTGAAGCTAAATAAGGAGCAACATGCCTTTTAATATTGCTGCTCTGAATTCAAACTTTGCAGTTCCTCATGATTGCTCTCTATTGAGACTACTGGTAAAGCTGGAAGGATCCTTCCTTACAGAAACAGATATGCTGTTCCGATAAAGATTGCTAACCATTACTGCTGTGAAGTATAGATTCTCTGTCACTGATGTTATTGAAAGTCTTCCACAGTAGCTTAGAAAATTTCATTCTTAAACTGGAATGGGTGTATTTCCTGTAGATCACAAAAGTAAAGGTTGAGTGTTTTGAGTTATATCCCTGGTGCAGCTATAGATTTGCTCTACTTACCAATTTAGGCCAGTAATTTAACGACTCTGCAGCTCACTTTCCCTGGCTGCAGCATGAGAGTTATGTAACACTTACCTGCTGTTTTCTCCCAGCAGAGTTTAGAGGTCTGGTTGGCACTTTGATGAGAGGCATTTGATAAGAGCAGATACTAAATAAAAGCATGCTGCTCCAAAGCAAACAGTGTGAACTAGATTGTTATAAAAAAGGCATCTCAAATACAGCAACTTTAGACCCAACTGGCATGTCTTGGCAGCCTGAAGTCTGCATTGCTATTTGGGATATATGGTTTTAAAAGCTGTCCCAAACCAGGGGCATCATTTACATGGAGGTGATCCCACTGTGCACTCTCAGAACTGAATTTTGCTCTGTCCTCCCAACAGTACTAATCATAACATCAGTGGGCCAAGTTCTAATCTCATTCGCATTAATGGAAGCTGGGAATAAAAAAAGTTACCTAGGGAGGTTGTAGAATTACTGTCATTGGAGGTTTTTAAGAACAAGTTTCACAAACCGCTGTCAAGGAAGTTCTAGGTCAGGAGAGGAAAACCAGCAGCCTGCTCGCTGGACTGGCCACACTGCTTAATTTCATCTGGCCCATGGCAAGTCTCCATGCTTCCAGCTGGAAGTCCCGAGCCTCGATGCCCCACACCCAGTGGAGCTGAAGCCACAAGCCCTGACTCGCTCCACTGCAGAAGGAAGCTAGGGTTCCTAGACCAGCACTGCAATGCTCCCAGAAGCCCCTGACATGTCCATACAGATGCAGGAACTATCAGGGAAGTTCTGCGTCCTTCTCCCCTCCCCACCCTCCATCAGAAGACTAGCTTTCAGAGGACCCTATCATAAGCTTTGAAGTCAGGAGCATGTTGGGGGCCAGGTCATAACATGCGGTGCTTTTGGAGATCCCAGGCAGTGCTGCAGCCAAAGGTTGGAGAAAAGGTATTATTTGCAAGATCCCTAATGAGAGGCACCAGCTTATTTGTATTAATAGGAAAATTGTGACACTCCTGACTGTACCTGGAAAAGCATTTGGCATTATCAGTTTGACTAGGATGAAAACTGCCATTAGCAAAGTATTGAGAGAAGCAGCACGTAGATTTCAGCCCAGTAGGTGGTGTTCAGATCAGGTGTCCATCTTGCCGAAACTCATTGAGAGAGGCTTAAAATACCAGTCAAAGATGGTTTTCAATTTAATTGGTTTTATAAAAATATAGAGAAGCTCTCTAGAAGATCCTGAAACTGTGGAATTCCAGCAAACAAGGTTAACTGGCTAAAAAGCTTTGTAGGATGAGTCTGCATGCCATGGAGACACGGATTGTTGCTGGTGCAAGGCAAGGCTGCACACATTCCCCACTTCTCTTTTACCTTTGTGATGAGAAGAGCAATGGCTGCTGCCAAAATCACTGGTGTTATTTGGGCAACAGATAAGCTGAACGACCCAGAATTTGCAGATGATACAGAGGAAGTGGGTTGGTCAAAAAGAGTCTTTTCATTCCATCCAAGTTGTTACTTGACACGACTAACTGAAGTGTAGGAGCATAAGCTTTCGTGGGCAAAGACCCATGTCCACTACATGCATCTGACGAAGTGGGTCTTTGCCCACGAAAGCTTATGCTCCTACACTTCAGTTAGTCGTGTCAAGTAACAACTTGGATGGAATGAAAAGACTCTTTTTGACCAACCCACTTCCTCCACCACCACCTGAAGCTGCCAAATGGAACTTATCAGTACACAGAAGATCAAGAACAAGGAAATAGGAGAGTGCTGTCTGGCTGATACAGGAGTGATGAAAAAGAGTAAAAAAAGAATTAATGACTTCAGCTATCTTGTAAATACAGTGTTTGCTACTGGCCAGTTCGCTAAAGAAGTGAACGCAAGAATCAGCAAAGTCAGTCAAATATGAACTTGACCTCTCCAACCACAGGAGAGCATCCTCATATCTGGATGGTGTACAGGTGGTTGAAAGCCACCATAAGCCCTCTCCATTCTCCTGGGCTACAAGTTCTTTACTTTGTCTCTTGGGGCACATCACAGAATCTCTCCCCGTAGTTGCAATACAACACCTAGAATGTCTCATGTTTTCTCTGAATCAGATTCAAAAGCAGCTAATTGCAGAAACAGCTTTTTGAAATAATATGAGGCTATTTTTTTCACAGTATAAAATTCAAAACTGCTAATGTGTGCTTCTGCAATAAGCAATCAGAAAAGGAGAAACAAAGATATGACTGATGTGTAGTGAATCAATCTGATAGGATTTTGATAAGACAGCTCACCTTGTATGTATTCTTTGTTTTGTTTTATAGTCCTTGGGCTGCAAAATGCTTTTGTAATACAACATGAAAATAGATACCAACAGTGCATCGGAGTCTTCTTACTACAAGCACAAACAGAGATGGTCAAAGTAAGTCCTATATTTTACAAGACCTTATTAAAATTATATTTATTAAAGGAAAGATCTTTCCTAAAGAGAATTTTACTGAAGCAACTATATCTGACAGAACTATGACCTAGTTTATTCTCTTCCCTAAAACAAATCATTCCACATGTTACAGAATTTATAATTACACTACCCACATACAGATTTTAAGTGAGGACCTCCAACAGGTCACATACTAGTTTTTCAATTTCTGACTTGCTAAAGTTCAATTCCTACATAACAGGAATCAAGAAACTAAGCCATTCCCCAGGCTCCATGCCCAGCCAAGAGTGGATTGCAGGGGCAGGAGCTGCAAGGGTAGAATTTTGCAAGGTTGCGGGGGTGAGGGGGAAGTGGCTTGTTTTTCATCACATTCCTTGGTAGATCCCTTTCCGCTATGCTCCTTCTTAGATAGTCGCTTCCCATCTTGTATGTATGGAACTGATTGGTCCTTCCTAAGTGGAGCACTTTGTATTTCTCTTTATTAATCTTCATCCTGTTTACCTCTGACCATTTCTCTAACTTGCTAAGGTCATTTTGAATTATGTCCCTATCCTCCAAAGAAGTTGCAATCCCACCCAGTTTGGTATCATCTGCAAACTTAATAAGCGTACTCTCTATCCCAATATCTACATCATTGATGAAGATATTGAACAGTACGGGTCCCAAAACAGACCCTTGAGGAACTCCACTTGTTATCCCTTTCCAGCAGGATTTAGAACCGTTAACAACAACGGTAATGGGTAAGATAGTTTGAGTGTTTGTTCATTCCTTCTCGGAGAGTGTCGAATTTTAACATGAATGACAGTTCAGAGGATTCCCTTTCAAGTGCAGATGTAAAAGGTCTTTGTAGCAGAATGCAGGTGGTTAAGTCATTGAGAGAGTGTCCTTTCTGGTTAAAATGGCAAGAAACTGTTTTCTCTTTGTGATCTTGTCTGATATCTGTTTTGTGGGCATTAATCCTTTGGCGAAGTGTCTGAGATGTTTGTCCAATGTACATAGGAATGTTTGCAAGGACTCATTGTGCAGCGGTTTCTCATTTAGCTCATGTTTGGTAACCAGAGTTTCTAGATTGTAGAACAGCTCATGGCTTTGGACCTATTAAAGCACCTATTAACTTGAATGTTAGTTTCTATAACATTGTCTGTATGAGTTGGTTTTACCTGGTAAGAGGTGGCAGTGGTGGGAAGGTGAGGAGAGAGGGAGGCACCTTTCCACTTTATTTTGGGTGGGTGTAGTGGAAATTCAAATGTCATCTCTCCTCCACCATGTCTGGAATGAATCTGTCTGGCACACTGAGTATAATCATTGCAAGAGAGTATACTTGCTACAGTTGTGTCTTTCTCTTGGAGCCAGTGCTGTCCATTTCACGGTCAATGGAAAAATTCACATGGACTTCACGCCAAGATCTGTATCAGCACCATGCAAGTTATGGCTCAGGTGTGATAGATGCTGGCATTCTCAGCAAGATACTCCCATGCTTTCCCTGACAAGTGGGGGCAAGGATTTTTGCCTAGACACTGCAACCAAAATATATTCAGGCAAATCATCCCCTGCTGTAAATTGATGTTGCATCTGTGACACCAGCAGAGCTAAGTTGATTTATACCAGATGAGTATCTAGTCAGCTGTATGCTAATCCCCCACCTCTCCAGGTCTTCTGCCTCTGGCTATGTGAGATACTTTTGACCCAAAATATTGGAAGGGACACAGTGGTCCATCCCCACCACAGAAGGTCCCAGCACCTCTGTAAACTTAAGTGCATTTGCTGCACCAGGTGCAATCAGAAGGACCATGCACAACATTCCATAACACCATCAACACCTTCACTTACAAACCTGCCAGGTAGGTTTGGAACATTGAAAACACCTATATTGTTTGGGAGATGGGTCAGTGAAATTGTACTAGATTGAAAAGGGGTCCGTATGCTCAAAAAGGTTGGGAACCACTGCCCAACATACAGTTGTATCACTGTAATGGGCCCTCTGCTGAAGACTTTTTTTCCCTGCCACACCTCACCTGAGGAAAAGGAGCAGTGAAGGGGGGTCCTCCAGGCCTGGCTATAGAGACTGCAGGGAAGCAGCCAATCAGAGTGAAGCAGGTTCACTTAAAAGGAGCTGCGGGGCTGAGCAGGTCAGTTTCTGGTAGGACCTGAGGAGTAAGGAAGGTGCCCCTTCCTGGTGCTCAAGTGAAAACAAGAAATCAGGTTTTGGTAGCACTGGCATTGAGTTAGGAAAAAGAAGGAACTTGAGAACATCAGCCTCGCCCTGAGGCAGAGGTGAAAAGGAGAAGCCTACATGGGAAGCAGCCCAGAGAGCAGGAACAGCAATAAGAGTTAAAGGAAACAGCACATGGTTGCTATTTGTTGGGTCTCGGTTGGAATTTGAAGTAGTGGGCAGGCCAGGGTTCCCCTTTATTGGTGTAGTTACCAGCACCCCAAAAAGGGGACAAGTTTTATGTAGAAGCCCAAGCACAAAGCTGGAATTTGTAGGACAGGACTGATAACCCGTATAGAGTGTCAACCCTCTGCTGAACTGTTATCCCAAAATAGGAATGACTTTGAAGGAAGAACTTGGTTGGCAAACTGGGTCAAGAACTGACAGGGAGACAACTCCAATACCAGGCCAGGGAAAGACCTAAAGCTAGCCCAGAACTGTATCCAGAGACCTGACTGCAGATACCAACCAGGGCACAGTGATAAGCTCTGTTAGACTTTTTTTTTTTTTTACCCGGAAAAGGTTTGTTCATTCACATATTGTGTGTGACCTGAGTAGAGGGGTAGGCCACTAAAGATCCACACAACAAGGTGAATAGCTATCAGGGGCTGCGGAGAGCTGAGAGACACACTCTGTACGTGTGTGCAGGTTCTCACATAACCAACAGGAAATGCTTCTCAGAGGTGAGTGTCCCCCTCACAATCACCCAATTCAATGTACATCTGCCAACTTCCTCCCCTCTGGCTGCTCCACTGACAAAATGCCCTTTATTCCCTTAGGGCACATCTACATAGCAGGGCTAATGCCGAAATAAGCTTTGCAACTTGAGCTATGTCAATTGCATAGCTTAAGTCAAAATAGCTTATTTCAGCTTGTGGCACTGTCTAAACAGCAGGAAGTCCGCGAAAGAGCACTCTTCCTCCAACTTCCCTTGCTCCTCATACAATGAGGGCTACAGGAGTCCGAGTAAGAAGTCCTCAGCTCGACATTATTTCAACATTATGTCTAAATAACTGCCTACTGTATAGAGGCGGACTGTGTTATTTCGGAATATGCTGCTGTGTAGACGTAGCCTAAGATCCAAAGTTAGAGGTCTGTGAACATAGAAATACAAACATTGTTCGTGACTTACACGAGGATTCCTTAGAGTAGAACATGACTGCACTGGCTTTTCTATCTTCCTATTTTTAAAACAGATTTATTTATTTCAGTGATAAAATATCCTTAATAACAGATTAAAGTGCTTTTTATTTATGGAACCTATCAATTATGGTGTAGCATGCAATAATGCCATACATTTTGATTGCTTATGTAAAAATCTGGTTGGATTGAAGATTGAGAGGTATGTCTGGGATTTTTGTTTTGCCCCTGATGTCTTCCCTAAATGTGGTGTTATGTTGTCTGACTTGGAGATGATGAATGCAGACAGGCATGGCTAGATCTGTCCTCAAAGGGACACAAGAGATCAGCAATTAGCCTCTGGGACATCCAGGTGGGAAGAGACATTTCTGAGCATTACTTGTAATTTGGTGCCCTGGAGCATTGAGTGCATTTAGGTCCCTGAGACTCACACCATCTGCACCACCAACTGGTGAAGATCCACCAGTTATGGATCTTCAAAGCATTGCTCTCTTCACAACCAATAACTCCTCTGTGCTGCCCAGATTGAGTTTTAGCCAGGGCATTTTCACCTCAGTGTTTTGCTCACTAAAGCTCTGTGCCTTTGAGCTTGGACACAGTGATGAATGGTTCCTGCAGGCAGCCTCCTGCAGCCCCCTGATACTTGAGTGAATGGCCTTAGAATAAATGAAGATAGCCAAGGACCTACTCTAGAATACGGTTCATAACAGACCATAGGCCAGGACAGGATCACGAGTTCTGAAGCTCCCATTCTTACCTATGTCCGTCCTCTGATAATGGGGAGAGGAGATGGCTGGTGCAGGAGGTGGCAGAGAGTTTCCCTACCTCCAGAGATTTTGGTTGTTTAAAGATCACTTGTCACAGCCTATGCAGCATAATATGCCCTGCACCAGAGTGGAGAATCTGGATCGCAGAGTTATGGACATAAATCACCCTTCTCTTCTAGAAGTAAGTTAAGAGAAAGTGCCCCTCTAAAGACCCTACAATTTCTTTTTATAGAGTCAAGTCTAAAAGTTCAAGTATTGAAGTTATTTAAACTTTTCTTGGGCCCTCAAGGTTTATAAAGAATTTTTTCTCCTATTACAGAGAACATGGATGTCACAGATAGAAATTGCCATCTCCAATTATTCCAATGGACATGAAACACAGAAAAGTTCTTTTTTCTGTGTGCCGGCTGAATCCTCTGAAATTTAATCATGTAAATGCAAAACTGACAGATCCAGTCTGAAGCCAGATTACATGGTGGTAACAAAAGAATTTAACAAGTCTTGTTAGTTTCTGGCAACAATGTTTCCTATGACCTGACTGGTTGAGGGCTGGGCATGGTGCATCATGGACATAATGGAGCTAGGAATGGCACAGAAACAAGGTAGAGAAGGCTCTGGCCACAGGAGTGTGCTGCCTTGCTGTTGTTATTCCACTGAGAGCAGGAGAAGGGAAATTGTCTTGCAAAATGTATTTCCAGGAACAAAAGGCAAGGACAATTATTTACTGAGTTTCACTCACTGTCCTGACATTCGACTGCATTGGGGCTTTACAGAATCTTTTAAGCAAGAGCCTCATTTGCGGATAGGTGACAGAATATTGGCTTCCTCATCTAATACCTAGTCCACCACAAAAAATAAAGAATTACTTGTGCTAATATTGTACTTATATAGGAAATTTCCCACTGGTTTTCAATGGCAATTCGATGCCTCATGGTGCCACAGGACTACTCATTTACAAAATAAAATGAAAAACAACTCAAACACAATAAAAGGCCACTTGCTCAAATTCACTCCTCTGATATAACGACGGAGAGGCAGCCAGACCAATTTGAGTAGCACTGCAACCCGAAGTAGCACCAAGTTGCAACATCTGGAACAGGAATCTTGGTCCAGTCTTGCAGGACAGCAGCCACCACTTGTGTGTGAAGGCAGGGTGGGCTCACTCTGCAAACCCTGGCTCTGGGGAACATGCAGTGGGGGGGAATGAATTAAACAAAACTAGAAATTTGCAAAAAATCAAACAACGTGAAAAGTTGTCCCACATAAGAAATTCACAGGGCTCTTCTGATGTCTGTGTAGACTATGCATACAGTGCTAACCGTGAACAAGTAAAAGAATTTGGAAAAGGAACCATCACAATTTGTTGTGCTTGCTTCACTGCAGAGTTCAGATCCTACTAAGTAGTTACCTCTACCCTGGCTTCTGCCCACACACACAAGTCTCTCACCCTGTGTAGTGCTGACTGTACATCTGGATTGGCTGGCGTGTCCTGGACTCAACGGTGAAGTCCAGCACCTAACGTATAGCTGAAATATACTCATTTTCACATACGTGGGATGTGTGTGAAATTCACAGGAATGAAGCTGTGGAAACCACAGTCCTTTAGTTACTCAGAACAAGAAGAGTAGAACCACTAACGCTGCGCTAACTTCCTCACATCTAGTGTTGCCAACTGTCTAATTGCATGAATCCAAAGACCCTTGCCCTGTCTCCTGCCCCACCCCTTCCCAGTCTATGCCACTGTCCCACCCTTTCTCTGAGGCCCTGGCTCTGCACATTCCATGCCCCCTCCCTCCATTGCTCATTCTCCCTCAGCCTCATTTTCACTAGGCTAGGGTAACAGGTTGGGGTGCAGAAGGCAGTTGGTGGTGACATTTACCTCAGGCAGCTCCCAAACGTAACCCACACACCCGTCTAGCAGAAACTCCTAGGAGAAGGTCCAGGAGGGTCTTTGTGTGCTGTCCTCAGCTCCCATTGGCTGCAGTTCCCAACCAATGGGAGCTGCAGAATTGGTGCTTGGGGTGGGAGTAGTGCCCAGAGATACCCTACCACGGGGCTACAGGGACATACTGGCTGATTCCAGGAGCAGCACACAGAGAGAGTGGGCAGGAAGCCTGCCTTAGCCCTGTGCACTGCCAGCAGTGGTAGCTGGGGAAGAGGAGGGGGCAGTGACATTTGAAATTGCCTGGGACAAATTGCCTGGAGCAATAGTCTCCTTTGCCCTGGCAATCAGTGGGCCTGCCCAGCACTCTCTACACCTGTGCTGGTAACCCACCCATTTCCAAATGAGGATTCAGGCTTCATTACTTGAGTACCGATAAAACTCCAGTGTCTTCTCCTCATGTGCCCAGAAGGACAAACACCTTCTCCCACAATTCACTTGGAAATAATCAGAACTGCTCAGCTTAATGCTGCACTGTAAACCATGGGATGTGATCCCAGAAGTCCTAGCACCTCACACGAGTTTGCGCAGCACCAGTGAGGAGTATGGCTTTACAATGCAGCTGTTTACTCCTGGATGGGATTACCTAGGTGCTTTGCCGATCACTCAGGCTAACACTGCAATGAAGACAGACCCAAAAAAGGATGTTCAGGTGCAAAGTAAAAAGATTCTTGTTAGACTAGGAAGCAGATACTGAGCCTCTCTCACTCATGCCAGAGCAATACAGACTACACCGGACATGATACAAAGATAGAACTGTGAATGACAGAAGGGACTGACTGCAATACAATACTCTGCCTTCTCTGTCCAATACACACAATAACCTTCTCTAGTAAATGAGTGTGGAGACAGATTTTGAGATAGAAGAAAAGAGCAAATCACTCCAAATGAAATCGGTGAACGCTGAAATTGATTAAATAATGCCCCTTATTACCTCCTTGCAACAGTGAAATCTTTCTTGGCAGTTACTCCGAGAGCATGGAAACAGAAAGCCAAGCCTGCTCTCCAGTTTCTTGCTTCCTGACAATCAATTTCTAAACTAATACAACCCACAGTTCAAAATAATGTTGTTTAAGATGGGACAAGATAATGTGAAAAAAAATCACAAAACTGGTCTATTAGAAAGATCTAATTTTATTATCATTCCTTTTACAGATTAGAAAACAAAAGTAACATTTCAACAAGCATCTGTCCATCATAATTTATACAGAATTAGGTGATGCATGGTATCATTTTCTTGACCACAATTTTTGTCACCACCCAATTGCAGAGTTTAGGAATTGCAGTGCATACTGGACTAAACTCTTTCACAATGTAAGGCACGACTACATGATCACAATTAGTAAACACAACACTGAAAGAAGGACTTAAAAAATCAAATTGATGAAAAAAATTCATGCAAAGTCTATCTACACATACAATAAGCTTTGTATTATGCCCATTATGAGTGTATGATCCAGTTTAAAAGAAGTGCAGTGTTCCGTAGGTAAAATTGCATCCATAAGGCAAGCATAATACTTCATCTCTAACTAGTGGGTTAGAAACATAAAGCTTTTTTTCAATTCTATTTTATCGACTTACACAGAAAATTAGTCAATTTTATGCCCAATATTCACATCTGCAACTATAATAAACTGATAATTAAAATTCAGAAAAGAGGCAAACAAGGCAATGTAATTCGTAGCACGCGTCCATTACAGAAATTCATTCATCAAGTTCATGTTGAGAGTATTGGGGGGAAAAGGCTAATGTAAGAGTGGATTAATTAGTGGATAATGCTGTGACAAAGCTCCCTATACAATCCTTGTAGCCCAACAGACCCTAACTAGGAAAGTTTGTGGTAGTGATTTATTTCCTCTCAAACAACTAAAGTTTGTAGGATTAAAACTACAGAAATTAAAAAGAACAGACTCTACAATAATTAGAAACAAGTTGACACTTTTAAACATATACAAAAAGACTAACTTTTTTTTTGGTGACAGACACTTGCAAATTTGGCAGTCTGTATAAATGTTACATTACACTACAGTGAGGAAACCCTATTAAACTGGACTACTTAGTTGAATTACACACTGAGAGGTAGTTTAAATAAAATCTTATATATGGCATTGAGTGGTGGGCTGGGGTTTTTTTATTCTATTTTATTTTCTTACAAAAGTGACAAATCCTATACAAGCAGCATTTTGGACACATTTCTATAAAAAGTTCCGGTGTTCACTAACTCCATGAGAGTTTTAGAATATCCCTTTGGTGCCAGGAGTTGGGATTTAACAAGGTGATACAACAAAGGACTTTGCAATAGAGCCAACAGCAGGAGCCCTGGTCCAGCCAGCACTGGCCTGTTGACACAATCAATGAATATATTCTCCACAAGCCACTCTCTTCCTCTCTTTCTCCCTCCGAAAAGGCATTCAAAAAAGACTTGGGACTTTTTAATTGAAGAGGAAACTTCAACAAATATTTTGCTTCTAAAGCAACACTGTTCTGAGAGGGTTAATATCAGAGACTTTTCCCATTGAATATCTTCAAATGGATTCTATGTAATCCCTTCAAAAGATACTCATGAACCTGCTGTATGATGAATGCATAGTATAATATGGATTGCTGTGCACAAAGGCAGAAATGGTTAATGTTAACTAGTAGTAAGTTTCTTTTTTAATGTTAATGTAAGTTGTGTGTTATATGTTCTCTCTCTAAACATGCAAATTGCTTTATTTGGAGAGCCTGGGAGAAAACTGACAAATAAAGGTACATGTTTCTCTAGAAGAATTTTAATTTTCTGTTATTACTATCTCTGAAACACAAACCATTTAGTGACTTCTTATGTAACTGTGTTTATATGTGTTAGTTTCAAACTTACCCTATAACCTAAGGTGAGTACAAGAGCTACTACTTAGTGAATGAAAACTGATACGCATGATTTTTTTAAATATGTAAAATTCACATATTTTAAATCTTAAGAGACAGCTTTATAAGCACAGCAGTGCTTCTTAAAAAACATGTCAATTCCTTTCTTGTGTGTGTCCTTGAGTTATGCTCCCCTAGGGTTCAGAGAAATCATGAGCACAACTCCCTTTAACAACAAAGGGGAGTTACTTATATAATTCAGGGAGCAATCTAGCTAAGAACACCCCCCTCCCCCCACGGACTGATTACTACATCTATGCATTCAAAACTGCCATTCCATTTATTGTCTACTACATCTATGCATTCAAAACTGCCAGACAATAAATGGAATATTATATTCAGTTAGGCTAGAAAGAAAAAAGTGCATAGTGCAAGTGACAGTGCTATTTCCTACTCCTCCAGAGGTTCCAATGAATTATTTCACCAGTTCTCAACTTCTTCCAATCTTAGTGTCATTACAGAGCTTTCACTCGTCGTCACTCTATACAACGTTTATTTTCCTTCTGGTCTTAAGCATTTCACTATCTCCAGGTATGTGTCATAAATTTCAAATGCTCAAAGAAGCATTTATTCCCACATTTCATTTAAGTTACGCTCACAAACTAGAAAGTACTCTAGTTTCTTGGGAGTCCCTACTGCTCTCTACAGAATATTCTGCTTTAGGGGTCACTTCTTTTGTGGCAAGCCACAGTTGGGCAAATGGCAATCAATTGTTTCTGACAATAATTTGCAAAGGCTAATTCACATTTTTGTTCCCAAAAATCTTTTCCTTCTTCACTAAGAAAAGATTTTTCCAGTGAGATTATCTCAATATCGAAGTCATTCAAAAAGTGACAAAATTATTCCCCCTAATGAGCACCTGGTATTCCAGGATCCATTACAACCGGGTTAGTCTTCATCTTCCAAGAATGGGGGGGAGAGGAGGACTCTTAAAAAACACACACACACACACACACACACACACACACACACACACACACACACACACACACACACACACACCCACCCCCCTACCTCTCTCTCTTTAGCTTCACATACCAGTACCAGCAGGTGGAGCCAGTCAAAAACCTGACTGCCTCTCTTTCTAACTCCTTAGCATCTCAAATATGCTCATGGAAGCAGCTGCTTCCTCCAGAACTTTTTATCTCCACGTTGGAGCTTTCTCCATTATAATCTTCTCTCTCTCTCTCTCTCTCTCTCCTTGGCACCCCTTAGTAGAGTGAGAATTTTGGACAATAGGTATCTGCAGTAACAGAAAACAGGGCAATGTAGCAGCTAAGATCAAAGGAGTTCCTGCTCATTACCCAGCTACACAATACTGTACTGCCTTCCACCCTGTAGAGCAATGCAACATGCAGCGTTAGGTGTTTGGGGCAGAAATGCTGAAACAGGATCTCCAACCAGTGGTCTAAGGCTACTCAGAATTTCAGGCCAAGATGAAATATACCAGGAAGGACCTGACTCCAAAAGCGGAACTGTGGCAGGCAAGCCTTAAGATATATGGGGCAGGAATTCACCAGCAGGATCTGGTATTTGAAAGCAACAAGTTAGAATCCTTGGACATTTTTCTGTTCTGAACTATGTTGTCAAGGCACATCTCCACCCAGTACATCAGACAGCAAGGAAAATGCCATAGGGCAGGGCCTCCCAACTCTTTCAGACTGCTTAGCCCCAGTTGTTCCAGAAAAAGCCCTAGCCAGTTCATGTTGTGCTTGGCATTCAATTGGCCATGTGGAATTTCCTGCACAGGTCAGAGAATGTATCATTCAAGTAATTCTGCTGTACGCCTAGCTGGACTTTGGTGCATTTCGTTAGCTATCAATAAGTTTTAAACAGACATGTTGTCTTTGTCTGACAGGAGTTCTGGACAAGAAGTCTTTTTCTTGGTTTTCTGTCTTTAATACTCTTCTTATGGTGGGGGAGGAAAGAAGAAAAGCAAACACGCAAACAAAAAATCCACCCTCACATAAGAGCTAGATATCTTTTGAGGTAATTTACTTGCTGTTTTATGTTTTCTTCCCCTTTGCAGAGATTGATTTTGCTGCTGGCTGCTTCTCAGTACTGGATCATGGAGCACCAGATGGTCATGAGGGAGGAAAGTAAAATCCCTTACCTACCCACAACTTTTTCTTATCTGAAGTAAGCACCTGGTGCTCCATGAGACACCATTAAACTTAATTCCCATTAAATATCAATTGGAAGGGAAATATCTCAACCCTTTCCCTTTAACCCAGCATTTCTACAGAGAGAGGGGGAAATTTTGGAGGTCCTTGGGATCTTGCTGGGCTTTAAATCTTCATTTCCATTTTTCTATAACACACATGAATTAATAGTTAAAAGTAAACTACCCTGTTTGGAGATGGCTAATCTTTCATAATGTTTATTCATTGAAACACACAGTCTTTTTACCTTGGGCAGCTAGCGGGTGAATTAGACAATGAATTACTGGAATAGCTCCACCTGCTGGCATTATTTTGAGAAGCTGAAGGTGTGAGGGGATATTTTTTAAAAAGCCTCTGTCTGGAAGATGAGGCACAATAACCCAGTTGTAATAGATCATGGAGAAGCAGGAGCCCACTTCAGAAAAGGAGAAATCACAGCTAAGTACATTTTACTTTTTTTGCCTACACAATAAAGAGAGGTATGTATATGCATAATTTTTAAAAATTCCTCCAGCACAAGCAAAGAGAAGAAACTGGGACAGTAACAGTCTAAAATTGTATCCTCACCTCTTACTTAAGCCTGACTGTTTTGTCCATAAACAAATCAGGAGCAGTTTCAACCACAATTCTGAGCAGGTCATGAAACTACTGTACCAAGAAAGGCTCAGCATTAAGAACAACACAAGCACCAAAGGTTCAAGAGAAGCAGTGGAAAGACCAAGTCTGTTAGGGAGAGAATGATCCCAACCTCTTCCAGGTCATGTGGGGAAATCATATAAAATGCTAGAATCTCAGAATATAGGTCATTAGTAGGAAACCTAGCATAGGACAGTTTGGTGTTCTTCAAAGATCAACCAAGGACTTTTAAAGGCTTCTACTGTTATTACGGAAAGAAAAAGAATAGAACAGAGGATATTTTTTATATGTGCACAGATAGGAAAATCTGTAGTTATATTCTGTTCAACAAATCTATACATTGATAAGGGAGAGCTTTATGCAACATTCCTAGAACAGAAGCCAAACTTGAAGTCCTGATACAAATGCTAGTACCGTATAGTACCTGTAAAGATACTCCAATATCCAAATGTAGTTGGGCAATGATTTAGGCACTGATATTGCAATAAGCTCTTTGTGGCAAGACCACAGTGCCCATACAGAGCCCCATGTAGGTCAACAGGGTTCCATGCGGGTACAGGTGTCTGACCCCACTGCAGGATTGGAGCCTTAGAGAGAAAAATTCAAGAGCAAGAGAGGCGAAAAACAACTCAAAGAAATGATTGGGGGATTTAAAAGGATGTTAGTTATGCAATCAAATGCAATAATTAAAATGGAATTACACCACTTAAGCAGCAAAATTTGATACATAAAATCCTTGCAAATGTTTGCAACTTACTCTTTGAAAGAAACAAAAACTGCAGTATAACATACATGTTTCTTTTGAACAAAAAAATTCAAGATTAAAAAAATACATTGTTACTTCTCTGTTTAAACTTTATTTACAAATAAATGGGTGTTCCTAATTTAGACATAAAAGCTCTTTCCTGGGTAAATGGCAATAAGCTGAGAATGATCTGAGCCCCTCTCACAAAAAAATACAATAGTTTTACTTAGTATCAATAAAACATTTTAAAATATACTAAATTTTGCAAGTGTTACAATCATTGTTCAAACTGAATAGTAGTCTGAGTGCTGTACGAAGTGCATCAACAGAAATTCTAATTCTAGCGTAACGTTTAAGTGCCATTTGAGATAACCAGTTATCCTTGTAAGTCATTAAAACAAGTATCACAGACACGGACAGGCTTCTTAGAAGAAGGAGTTAAGGCATTCTTTGCGGAGCACTCAGCGCAAAAGATATTTCCACAGTGTCTACAGTGATGCTGTCAAAGATGAAAACAACAAATATGGAATTGTCAGTTACAGTATAGTGAGCAATGTACATTACAAGAAATTATTACAGAAGATAGCCAATCAATCACATTTAACACTAGGATATAAGTGGCACTTTAGGTTTATGTACAACTCAATTTCTAAAGGGCATACGGGTACAATTTTCAGAAGTGTCTAAGTGATTTAGGAGACTTTCAAGGATTCGTAGGCTCCTAAGTTACTTTTAATGGGACTTAAAGTTACTTGAAAGTTTTACCTCTCAAGCTTGTTTAGGTCCATGATATACATGTTTCATGGACTTAATGAAACCCCTTCAAATAGCTGAAACCACTCTATAATTCAATACAATTAGTAGTTGTGACAGACAGATTATATACTATAATATACTGAACAAATCTCACAGAATTAAGATAAGCTTCACTGAGTTTGGTTAAACCATGCTGAACTAGGTTAACACCCAAGGGGACACTAGTAAAAAGCAATTGTGGATGTGTTGTTGTGACCTGGTATGCACTTTGTGTAGTAGGGAGGGGGGATACTAATGAACTTTCTCTATTATCCAGCCTTTGAAGCCACTCTCCTGGGCAAAATGCACATATTAGCTCAAACTGGATTCTCCACAGATCAACAAAAATATTTTTGGAGAAAAGCCTAGGTTTTCATTTGTCTGGGGGCCTTCTGCCAACTGACAGGACCTCTGTGTACAGAGGGCCCCAATCCTTGGAAAGACGTTGCCCACTGAGACCTGTTAAAACAGTATGCTTGTTCTGTGCTGAAACTCTGATGAACTTGTAAGCACAGTAAGAGATGGAATATTAAATAACTTCATTTGCCAGAGCCCGTGTCAGAGCTGGGATGAATTCTGGCACGCTGATTAGCTTGCATGTAGGTCCTTTTATTGTTTTTTATATGTTTTCTTTGTAATGTTTTTTACCTTAAGAATAAAACGAATTTGTTTACAAAGAACTGTGTGGTAACTTATATTTGTAGCAATTACAGTTATCTGTCTCTGAAAAGAAAGCAAGCTGGTTTCCTAAAGCATCTGTCTGTGCTGGGATTGACACAGTAAAAGCAGGGAACTGTCCAGAGTAGAAATGCCCTGGACAGAAAAAAGAGAGACTTGTGGCTCCACCCAAGAAAACCAACATCTGGAGAGCTGGCAACGAAGAGTAGGTGTCCTTGCTAAACCAGTGAGCAGAAATACAGGTGCAATTTCCCTGAACTGTGACTCAGGAAACACCAAATGACTGCAAATAGTCAGAGGGGAAGTCATACAGGATTACACTGACAAAGCTATGTATGTATCTTGTATTTCTAAATCTAATCAGTGCTTAAAAAGTATCAAAATATCAGACCACTCATGTGAGATAGAATTACTGATTTCAACAGAATTACATTCATTTACATCAGGCCTGAATTTAAATCTACAGAAATAAGTCATGCTGATGTAAGTGCCTTGATATTGATAATACCTGTGTTCAAACAAGGGTTTGTACCTCTTCAACTATATCTAGTTCTACACAGATATAGATAAAGCCTGTGTACAAAGCCTTGAGCAGTTATAATTTTGGAAACAGTACATACCATCTCTGATGATGAGCTGTACTGAGGTTGAGGAGTATGTTTTAAAGATGCTCTTAAACTTTGCTTCAACTCCAGAACAGTTCAAAAAGAAAACAATGTCTAAATAATCCCTACAAAGGCACACTTACCCTTCTTACTGTCACGGAGAAACCTTTCCCACAGGCCATACAGTTCTGTACCTCATTGTCTTCTGCCCACTTCCTGTTTAGGGCTTGTGTATGTTTAATCTAGACGAATAAAACAAATCCAGACTGTTTTTAAATGCAAGTACACTTCTTATTAATGTCCTTTGATACATCACTTATGTTGTATGCATCAGAATAAAGCAGTGAGAATTAGTCACGGTGAGTCATCAATTCTAATACCAGCTCAGTTATTTTTTTAAAAAGGACTTTTCAAAGTCCAAACTGTGGGCTGAATTCAGAACTTACATGAAGATCCTTTGATATCAACTGCATCCTGGGATACAATGGGCATCATTTTAACCCATCTGAAGCAACAATACACTATTCAAGTCAAAATAGTTTTTGCCACTCCATATTGGTACTAGAAAATTTACCTGGCATGGCTCGGGTCCTTAAGTCAAATAAGTTTTTTCTTCATTTAAATCATTGTGCTGGGGTGGAGCTGGGGATGAGGGGTTCAGTATGCAGGCTGCCCCAGGGAGAGAGCATAACCCCAGCCGTCTCTTACCGCTGCAGCTTGGACCCAGGTGAGAAATGCCTGTCCATGGCTGCTGCAACTGCAGCGGGCACAGCCAGGGGATGGGTGAATGTTCCCCGGCTGGGGGACAGACAGACACATAGACAAATAGACACAAAACAGACAAACTCTCTGAAATATATAGTAGATAGTGGTCCCATTTCTCCACTCCTGCTGCCTGCTGGCCCAGTGAGGTTACAGCTGTCCTGGTCCCCATCTCTGGCCTCTTTCTGTCCCCCTGTGGTCATTCTGCAGTATAACTGTCCCTCCTACAAGACCCCTCCACTTCCATGTATGAGAAACAATCAAATTCCAGGCACATCCCATTGTCCTGGCACAACCAAACCCTGAACTTGCTCTAAGTTATGATAAGAGGAAGCTGAATAGCAAATTTGGTGGTTCTAGCTTTTCCCATTTGGGAGGAGTTCTTGAACAAATGGACTCACAGATGGATGGACAGACACACATTTCTAAAATAAACATTAAGATTGACATGCTTAGTCACGCAATGTAATTTATACCTGTAGTGACTGGTTTTCTCGGCCTAGCTCCTGCATTGCTGCAGTTGTGTTATCCAGCTTCTTTTTCAGTTCCAGGAGTTTGGCTTGAAGCTTTTCAATTTCTCCCTCACTTTTAATACACCTGAAGATGGACAACAAACAGTAAATTAAACATATACAAAGCAATTCCTATGCTATTTGGCAAAATGTCACCACTGAAAGGTTTAGCCATGTATCCATAACAAACATATCACTGTGATTAACCATTGTATTTTTTTCTGGAAAATTGACATATTATTTAAACAATTAAGCTAAGATCACAGCTGAGCCTAACTCTCAGAGCGAGTACCTACTGGGGGTCTGTGGGGCACATGTTTCAGAGGGGGTTCAGGACTGAATGCGCTCCCCCAGCTAAGGTGTGCTGCTGGGCACAAGTGCAGAACAGGACAGTCTCATTAAGCTGAAGCAGCAGTTACAGCAAAGCAAACCGAAAGGAGATGAGAGGAAGAAAATGAAGGTTACTTGCCTGTAACCAAGGTTCTTTGAGATGGACTGTGCATATTTACCCGCTTGGGATGTGCACCAACCGGTGCTATTGAACAGTGCAGCTTTCTACCAGCAGTCTCAGTTTATTGGGTCATATAGTCTTTTGCATTTATGAGATGGCACTTGCCAGACTTCATCACTGTCCTCTTCAAGGTTGGTTAATATGGATCCCTTTCAAAGAAGTAAGTTTGGGTATCACTGCTGTCGCAGCCATATAGGAATTTCCTGTCTGAGTTCTGTCTGATCTTCTTTACAACCTTCAATATTAAAAGGAATGGTGGGAAAGCATGCATCCAATACCTATCCCAACTGGGGAGGAAAGAGTTTGGATCTACTGCTGCCCTCAAACAAAACAAACAGCATTTGGCATTGAACTTTGTGACAAAGAGTTCTATGTTTGCAGTAAAAAGGCCAAAGGGAAGAACCCTTGTACTGGAAATGGTTCTGCCCTAATGTGAAACACAAGTACTTCCTGTGTGATGTTCTTATCAAAATATGAAAGGAAGAAATTGGCGGGGAGGGGAGGAGAGTCAAATGCAGCAAACCAAGGAAAGGGACACAATAATGGAACCCAGAGTTAACATTCCGAAGTGAAACCTTCAAACATACCTGATTAGCTTCCTCAGATTCAGGACTAGGCAAAGACTTCCATACCTCTTTGGATAAGAAAATAGTTAGAGTTTACTGAAATAAGGAAATAATGGGAGTTTACTGAAATTTACCAAAACCTCTTCTATCAGTCCCTCCCTCAATAAAAAGATGATTTCTGATCTTAACACCAACTAGTAAGAGGGGTCCTTAAATAGAAAAGGAGTGGGAGGTTGGTTCAGAGGAACAGTCTCAAACTGGGTGGCCCTTTAGGATGTCCAAAACCCACTTGTCCATAGTGAACTTCTGCCACTCACAGTCAAGTTGGCATAAACAGTCTCCAAATAATAGGGGGAGTTAATCCAAAGATGGTTTGCTTCTCTCTAATCTCAAGTAAAACTGAAGGTCTATCTTTCAGAAATAGTGGAGGGTGAATTTTTTGTCTCAGCTAGGGATGTGAAAGTTTAACTGGTTAGCTATGACTGGATCCATAGTAGCAATAAAGGTGAGATAGTCTTTCTAAGTGAACTTATATGCATTTTGGGATGAAGTAATAGCATCGCAGAAGATCCATGTAGCGAGGAATCCACTGTGTACTTTCTGTGAGAGGGGAAAGATTTGTGTTGGGTCCTTATCCAAATCTCTTTCCTCTGCTGAAGAAGCATGAAATGGACCTGAAAAATGCAGTTCCTTCTGCAAGTACCTAAGTGAAAATTATCACTGTGCAAATACAAAAAGGGATCTATTTCTTGGTCTCTGATCTGTCTCACACCTGCATGTTTGCAATCTGAAACCTCTGGTGAGTTCCCTGAACAGAAGTCAGTGCAAGACTCAGAAAGGTGCTTAAAATGGAATATGTATTGTCTAAGACCATTTCTGTTACCATGTTCGTTTTTTGGAAGTAGGTCCAAAGCTTTTGTTGCTGACCGGTCAGTCTTCAATTTTGTATGCTGAAAGTAGCTCACATCCATCTGTGAGGGCAGTTGGAAAGAACTTAGGCAGTAATTACTTCCCTGCCTCCTTTTATAGCCCCAACCTCAGAATATGCTCAAACACTGATGGGAGGTGCACAAAAGGGCACATGAACGCTTAGACCAGGCATTGGTAGTATAATTTTGCATCATTCAACGACACTGGTTGGTGCCTATCCCAAGAATTGCAGTATGCAGAGGACATTCAAAGGAGAACTTGGTTTATAGGGGTCACTCCCTAGTTATGGTTTAATGCCCAGGTGCAATATTTAGGTGCAACAGCCTGATTTCAAAAGGTTTTAATTTCTGTGTTTGTAACACTGCTGTAGAAAACTGGCTCAGATGAGTTTAGAAGAGCACAATAAGGAGTTTCTTTCATCTGACAAGTGGGTTCTTTCTGCATGCAGACCTCAGGATGTCCTCCAATCCTACAAGCACATTGCTCTTCAGTTTAACAATACCAGGATGGATCTGCAGAGGCTCCAAAAGAGCTTAATTAAGGACTTTCAGGGAATGGACACAAGTCTGTTAAGGTCAGTGTGGGTTGGGGCCCTGGTGAGCATCTTGTGTCTCATGAAGAGGCAACTTGGGACTCACCTGCTAAGATTTCCAGGAGGTGGGCACTCCATCACAAAGCCCATAAGGTGTGGAGGCTCTTGGTTGGTTGGTTGATAGTTTGAACAGCCTACTAAGACTTGCTGGAAATAAGGAAGGGAGCCTTCACTCTCTGGAAACCCCTACCTGGAGCACTGGGGTCAGTACAATACATACAAAATGTACATAAAGCACTAGGAAGACAAACACTATTTTTCAAATTTTAATTTATCCTCTTCTTAATACGCTACTGAAAGCACACTCCCACACCACACTCACTGACTCACCTCTCCAACAATGCTCTCCTCTCATCCTGATTATTTTGTACGGTTGCTTCTAACACTGCAATCTCCCCACGCAAATCATCTGTCTGTTTCTCTAGCTCACTGACTCTCCTTTGACTGCTCTGCCACTCTTTCTTCATTGTAGCCAGGTTTTCATTCAAAGCTGTGATCTGCATGGTGAGCTTGGCCTTCACCTCTTCATATTTTTTGTTTTCTTCTTCTTTAGCTTTTATCTCGGTGTGCTAAGAGAAAAGGAAACATTGAACAATGAGCTTTCAAACAGCTCTGAGATAGACTATGCTGAGCATACTATGTGAACAGACTGGTATATTGTCAATTCTAACATCAAAATTAAAATGATGATAATGCTTATCTCTGCTACATCTGCAGAACCTTTTTAGGCAGTTTTTCAAGCATGTCTTTTCAAAGAGTCACTTTTTTTTTAATGGAACAATGCTCCTTATAAGTAAAAGAAAACTAGATTCTGCCCTTCTGGTATTGTTCAACTGAGGCAGGTTTTTGGAAATATTTACAAACCATTGATTGAAAATGTAAATGTTATGAGATTAAAATTAAAATGCTCTTTGAAAGGATCCAGAGACATGTGCTAAACACACACAACCTACGTGCTCACCAATTTAGTTTCAATCTCAACACATTCCTTCTTCAGTTCGTCCTCCTTTTTCTTCAGCTGATCTTTGATAATTTGCTGATTCTTCTTCTCCTGTTCAAGAGCTAAATTCATGTTATCTACTTTGCCCTGAAGCTCTAGCTTTTGTTGTATCAACAGCTGCTTGGCGTCCTTTAGATTTGTCACCTCCTGTTAAAATGCAAGTTTAAACTATCACATAGGGTCTAAAATTAAAATGGTAAAACTTATCTGCAAACTAACTTCAGACCAACAATAACTATTCCCTGGGACTGGAGGGCAAATGCCTTTATTGCATAAAATATCAACAGACCAAGACTATATAAAATTTTATTTTTTTTAAACTTCCTTTCCTAGGTTACAAATTACATTTTAGATTACCACAAACTGAAAAAAAAATATTTTCCACTAAAATAGTGGAAAGTAATAGGTTTGTAATTCCACTTTTAAGTCAGATTTTAATCAATTTTGCTGTTCGGTTTTCTGTATTAGGTAAGTGTTACGAGATGTAAGTTACAAACTCTGTAGTGGCAAGGAGGGGATTTTTATTTATGTGTTTATTTATTTATTTATTTGTTTGTTTGTTAAATCCATTGGAAACAATTACTTCATAGGCATACAGGTCTTAAGTTTGTAAATACAGGTCTTTATACGGGTCTGAAGTTTGTAAATATTTATCTACCTGATGTACAGGAAATAGCTTTAAAAATAGAATAGCTTAATTTAGCAGGAATCATTCTTCCTTAAATCCACAGCTCAGTATGCTTTATAATTCTGAAGAATAAGGGGCTCTAGTTTTCCATAGGACACATTCCATTGAAATACAATTCAAAAATCATGAGGATACAGCCTTATTTTTTGTCCTTTCAAACCCTTGCATGGATGAAATAGCCATACTTGATTTCGTAAGTGGGGATCATTTTGGTTTCAGTCTGACTGCAACCAACCACTGAGAACAAGAGATAAATATTAAGCTGACATCCCAGTTTCTGTGTGTTTTAAAATTCTCTGCAGCTCTGTAAATTCCTTCTTTTTTTTAGGATAGACATTTCAGGAAGAGTGTGACAGTTATAGTTAGTGTTCCCCAAAACACAAAGCATTGCACATTGAATTCTCTAGAAATAACCATCGTTTTTAGACGTTGGATTACAAAAGAACATCTGAAAGCTATGGGTTGTTTGGGGTTTTTTTGTTGTTGTTGGAGGGTTTTTTTGGCATTTCCCAGGAGCTTATATCCAGGCTACTTTAAAATTAATTCATTTTTATGAGATTGCAAGCTTTCTGTGGGATGGAGAGGCCAGCAGAAGCAAATACATTACTGATAATAAATATAATATGTAATAAAATGTAGAAAATTTACTTAGGCTGTCTTTTAGAAGTGTTAGACATCAGAAGAGACAGGAAAGAGCTACAGATGCAAATTTTATGAGCACCTATAATTCAAAGACTTTTAAAAAATAATTCTATTCAAAATTCCACCCTCTAATTTTCTTTTTCTTTTCTCTTTTTTTAAGGAGCAATCCTTAAAAGGATTTCTAAAATTTACTCTTGCCTCAAGAGTGATATTTAAAGAAGCTTCAACAACATTGGTTTAGCTAACATTGGTTTGGTATTTTCATGTTGTAAATAAATTACATGCACTTCAGAGTGACAAATAGGTACATTTTTAGTGAATGCACAGATATTTTTTTTAAGTAGGGGTATTGATTTTAAAAAGCAAAGTTCAGGTTGGACACAATTCACGAACAGCTTAAATCCCCTTCAACATCTTCACACTTTACATGGCTTTCCCTATCAGTGAGCACATGCACATTAATAAAATTAAGATGTTGGTTTTGCTTTGATTTTTTTCTTTTCTGGGGGACTAAAAGAGGCTGTTTAATTGCCTTGCTTCTCAGAATTTGGGGGCACATCGTGAGAACTTTTCTTCTTGTCCACTTTTTATTAAAACATTGGGAGAAAGTCTGGATAGTTAATTGCTTAGAGTTTTCTATATACAAAGTCAGGAGTACAGAATCTGAAGTCAGGAGACTTGGATCACAACCAGTTGACCCAGTCTTGTTGTGTCATCTTGGAGAATTACTTCGGCCTAATCCACAAAGAGACTTGGATTGCAAATCCTAACTTACTTTTAGGGATCTTGCCATCTCAGTGGAATCTACAAACCCTTGGTCAAGTGCCTAGGTTTCCTACAGAATGCATGGGGGGAGAGAGGCACCTAAGAATGAGATCCACAGAAGTTAGTATGCTAGGTAAAGAGCTGCCTAAAGTAGCCAATGGGAGATGCTGAGGAGAAAGGTGGATCCTAACCAGGGAATGAGGCACCTCCAGTCAGGGCTGGAAAAAGGCACCTATTTCTGCTTGTGACCCACATCCAGGATCCCCTACTAGGAATCAGGTTCTTAAGCGGTTTCTAGCAAAAGTGGTGACGACACACATCTAATTCCACATAAGATAACCAAGGAGCAGAGAGGAGTAGAGAGACCTTCCTTATAATATGCAGCCCAGTGGCTAGAGTACTAAAAGTACAGTACACCCCAGTTCAATTCCCCCTCTGGTTGATATGGAAAGGGAGGTTGAATTTGGGTCTCCTGCATTTCAGGAGAGTGACTCCATTGCCCAGTGGCTACAGAATTCTTGCTCTGTGGCCCAAAGCACATTTTATTATTTATACACAGTAGAACAGCTTCAATAAGACTTATTTGACCCACATTAGAATCACCCATATAGCTCAGTGCACTGAGAACCCCATCCAGACTGGTCATCACAAGACAGGTAGAAACATCTATCTTAACCTGGTTTGAGGATCCCATTGGAGCTGATCCATGATAACAGGTGCCTAGCAGTCTAGACTGAGGTATTATGTGCATACTCAGTGGCACAAACTTAGACATATACAGAATTTTTACAGCAAAACTTTAAGCACCTCTAGAGCTAGGTAGGAGGTGACCTAGGATACGTCTAAACTACATGGCTCCGTCGACGGAGCCATGTAGATTTGTTGTTTTCGCAAAGGCAAATGAAGCCGCGATTTAAATGATCGCGGCTTCATTTACATTTACATGGCTGCCGCGCTGAGCCGACAAACAGCTAAACCTCATCCCACGAGGAATAACGGGGCTGCCAACAAAGGGCTTTGATGTAGGCAGGGGAGCACCCAGACTAGCGCGCTGAGCCATGTAAATGTAAATGAAGCCGCGATCATTTAAATTGCGGCTTCATTTGCCTTTGCCTATGTGTCTAATCTACATGCCTCTGACGACAGAGGCATGTAGTCTAGACACAGCCCAAGGGTTCTGAAGATCTCAGTGGTGCCTAAAATTTGGACTTGAGTGCCTAAAGTGGGAGTTAGTCTCCTAAGTACTTCTTTTGGATATGGGCTTCAACGGAGTTCATCCATATGTAAAGAGGAAATAGTAATACCCACCATTGCAAAGAAATTTAAGAGCCATTGACTGACCGTGTTATATTCAAATATATTCTTATTCCTATCTGTAGTTCCAATTGGTGTCTCGACATACCTTCTCAAATTCTTGCTTGCGGGTCTTAAGCTCTTCACTCAATTTATTACTGTCTTTCTCCAGCCTATTCTTTATTTCCTGGAGCTCTGTTGATTTAGCTTTTTCATTAGCCAAGTCTTTTTCTTTCAAAACCTTGGGGGGAAAAAAATCAAAGGAAAAATGGGATCTCATCCAGACTTACAGTTAGCAAAAACCTCTTGACTACAAAGACTGCTGATGGGAGAATGATTGTATCAGATCTCCATCCACAATTATTTCATTTGATCCTAGAGAAAAACCTATCATTTAGTTTAATATTTAAAATCAATAATCAGGGTTTTTTTTTCTTTTCACCTTAATTTTGTTCAGTGGGTGGGTCCCTATATATAATTAACTTATGCTGAACATGTTTTAATTTATTCTGTCATTTCAACTATTTGTTTAAAATCTTTTAGGTAACAGTGGCCCAATAAACTGCTGGAAGTGAAGATACAAATTGCATCAGCACAATAAACTGAGATGTATTGGCACATTTCTAAACACATATAAATTAGAACATAGGAAAAAGAGAAAGGTAAAGGGCAAAGTAAATTACCTTGTCTTTCTGGATTTCCTGTAACATTCTGATCTGCTCTTTTAACTGCTGTTCTTTCTTTGACACATCCTGCTCCAGGGTAGACTTTACTGTCTTAAGTTCTTGGATTGACTGATTAAGGTTACCAATTTGATTTCTGCTTGAAACTAATTCCTCCTGAGCCAGAGCAAGTTTCTCCTCTGTGGACTAATAAAAAAAAACCAGCTCTGAAAATCATCTGACAAAAGCCATTGCAATATCAGAGTTCTACAGTAGCCACAATAACTGAAACACTTGCTATGCCTCTGTAAGAAATCAGCTTTTAGTGCATAGTACTTTATTTTAAAATTTCAGTAGAACATAGTTAGCAGTCTGAAAGAAAAATGTTTCCAATAATGTTTCCAGCAATGGGTGCTGGAGTTTACGCATTAAAACGCATCAGGAAACAAAGAAGGAAATTATACAGTAAAAAATTAGTAAAAAACAAATAAACTTATTCAGATACTTACCCATGAGTACAAACAGTTGTACACATGAGAAATAGGTAAAGTGGCAGAGTGAGATTTTTCTGAAGCATTAAGTGCTAGCTTAACTCTGTTCCTGTTGAATTTTCACATAAACTTTAAATGGGAACAGAGTTAAACCAATCCTGAGTAGTTTTGAAAATCCCACCTATCTTGTAGCAATAAGAAATGGTAAAAGTCCCAAACATTGTATGGGTTCTCACTTTCCCTCATATATCTAACTTGTCTTCTTAGAAAGTAAGTCCTCTACATCTTCTTGATGGGACCGTGCCTGTAACACTGTGAGAGCAATAGTAAAACACAGTAATTGGAACAATGAGGTGACTGTTATGTTGCAGTTAACAGAGACTGAGCAATTATGAGAAAAGCAAACTGAATTCGCTCTCAGAGGACGGCAAATGAGAAGCAGAAGTAAAAATTTCAACACATGGTCATGGACAAAAGAGGTTGCAATTCATTTCCAAAAGGTATTTTGATGAAAGTGAACTAAGCAAGAGCAAAGGAAGAGACAATTATGTTGGGATTTAAGCACAGGGGGATAGTACCTTATAAAAAGGCATATTATCTTTACAAAACTTAAACAATAAGCATATATCAAGCCATATTCAAAGACAAGTAAAAAGGAAAAGCACCTCAGTCATTAAAGCCTACTTCAGTATCTGGTAACAAATAAAACAGAAAAGAGTAGAGTTATGTAAATATGTCCCAAGATATTTTAAGTGGACACATGCAAGGAAAGCCAGGTGCCACTGATATCAATAAGAATTTTGCCCTTTGGTTCTTGCACAGACCTTTATGAGGTGGAAGACTGCCAGAACTTACCAACTATGACATTTTAATAGTGAATGAAAAACTGCCCAGCTGAAATCAATGGGAGTTTTGACCGCTACAATTCCACCCATTATTTTTAACAGGCTAGTTTTACAGTATCCTATCCTAACTAGTATCTGTTTCAACCATAGTAAATATTCTTTAAGAGAACAAATAATCACGTCAATGTTTAACATGCTGTTTGTGTGATTGTCTTTCGGAATGACTAAGCAATACCCTCCGTTACTGGATGGAGTGTCAGACCAGCTTAAGTATTAATGTCCACACAGACATCTTACATCCTATCTTGCTAGTACCTAGAATGCTGCTACACACGCATGAATACTTAAGAGATAAGCTCCTTCATTTTCCATATAAAACAATTTTTAACTAAAAAAATCTCAGGTCTTACGAAAAAGTATTATTCATTTTTTCTCAATTTTCACCCAACTTTTGTATCAAATATATAAAAAATAATTTATTCTATTAATCATCACTATTACATAAGTGGTTGCAAATCTTCAACAAGAAGTAGAGCTGTGTATTAGGCTAGAAGATATATACAACAAACAGGCACATTTATAAGCCCTGAAGCGCATGCACGTCTGAACGTACTGCTGACTCTCATGCCCACCATGAACTTATGTCAAGATGTTAGCAAACACTGGTTTATACATCTGCTGCACCAAAATGGGATGAAAATGAAAATCTGTATCAGAATACATTTCAGAACACAAAACAGCAAAAATTAAAAAACAAAAACAAAAACAAGAGAAAAGGATAAAGCTGAGTGTCTGCATTATAAATTGTGTGGCCCAATTAAATGTAAACACTTAAAGACTAATAGTTCTAAGTCTACAACAGTGAACTGTTTATGGAAATTAAACATTTTATTTTCAGATTAGAGGTGTATTGTTTTCTTAAAATCAGACGTAGCCTTGTGTTTTTAGTTGTTTTAGTTTTGCAGCAGGCCAGATTGAATTTGTTCATCAAACCATTAATCTGCTGAATAATTTTTTCCCTGTCCTTGTGCCCACCAACATAAGCCTTGATATTTTCCCAGAAAATTACTAATAGTTTTCCCACCAATTTTCACCCATTTTTGTTGTTTAATAAACACTGATAAATTCCTAGAAAAAATTAAATAAAGACCAAAAATGAAGGCCCCTATTCACAGGTTAATGCTAGTTTAATTTTAAATTCTTGAATAAGGAAAAAAGAAAGTAAATGTGTTAGGACAAATGATGAATTCAATAGAATATTCATCAGAATGTTTTTAAACAAGGGATGCAACAAGGAAAGGACTCAGCTGACGCTAGAAAATATTTTGAGGACATTATATGTACCAGATGACAGTGGCTTAGTGCACAATTTTTCCCATTCTGTCCCTTTTATTACATGTGTAGTGAGGGAGCGGAGGGCAGGGAAGAGGATTCTAGCAAATACACAAAGAGGAAAGGTCCAGTTAAAAAAAACACCACCAGGAAGACTATGCTATGAAGCAAGATAAATTCTCCAAATACATCTTATTCCTAATCTATGAATGAGATCAGGACTACAAAAGAAAAGCATCCAGGCCAAGACTGAGGTGCATTAGGCAGATCTCATATGCTATTTGTTTAATTCAATCCAGTCCAGGGCTAACAGTTCCTCGTTTTCATGAGCACTACACATTCATTTACAGAAAAGGTAATTTTTAGTAAAAAAGGCATTTTTTGTAAACACCACAAAATCCCCCCCAATATACATACATTAAAAGAGAATATAATTTATTTGAACTTGTTGGCTCAAATATATCCATCCACTGTTCATCCCCACCATCAGTACAGTCAAAGAATTGCAAGAGATCAACAAACTTTTTTTAGAGAAGGAACATATCCTTTCAATAACTTTAACTTCAGCCAAAGTAAATTGATTTGGAGTCATTTTGAGGGAGGGAGGGAGGCACAAGGCAATTTTTAAACTGAGAGAGAAAGAGAGAGAGAGAGAGAGAGCGCGCACGCGCGTATTTTATATATAAACACACAGAGACATTTTTCATTTCAATCTACATTCATGAAAATTTGACTTTAAAAACATTATTTATTATGTGCGTCTGTCCCACTATCCACTCCTTCCAATTGCATCAAATCTTTTCACCTTGGCTGAATGTTCCTTATTAAAATAAAGGTTTTGATGTTAACCAGCCCTTCATTTTCTTAACAGTATTGATAGGTGGAGGAGGAATTGGGCTCACCAGAGCAGTTGTCTGATCTACGGCTGGCTTTCATGGGACACACACCTAAGTATCTTAGGCTACAAGATTTCCCTGGAATGCCAATTATCTGCTTTTCATCACAGTGCAGCTTCCATAGCAGACTGATTCCTTTAACTTAATTTAACAATGATATTCCATCCTCACGCCAGGAGATGGTGCTATTAGTACAGCTAAACTTATGCCTTCCTATCTTACTCAGCCTATTACATGCCACCTCAGTTCATATAATCCACCTGGCTTGAGGCAGTCTATCTTCATATCTGAAACCTTGGCCTCCAGAGGTCTGTGTGTGCCAAGTTGTGTTAATTCATTTAGCCACTCCACAGATATTTTTATTTAGCTAAACTGAAGGCTAGCAGTGAAGGTATCACACACAGACCTAATCAAGTTTATTTAAACTTCTCTTTAACAAACTGATTTTGACACCATGTGGACTCATCAATGCTTTGCAATGACTATGCTTTTTCTGTTAAAAGACCTGAAGTAACAAGAAAAACATTCAAGATCATTTAGTTTGTATGTGTCAAAGGATTTGTGTTGTACAAAACCAGTCCAGATGTTTCAACACACTATGAGGTTCTTCATTGCTGCAATGAGGACAAACCAAAACCCTGGATCTGAACCTTCATTCAAACTTTGGATGCAGATGCAATCCAAATTTTGTGATTCTGGAGTCTTGTGGTACAGACTGCAGAGGGTTTGGGTGGTGACCTGGGGCAGAGGAATGGGATGCAGAGTCTGGGAGGAGGTATGGGTGCAGGATAGGATTTTGGCCTGTGGGAGGGGTATAGGAGAGGGTTCAGGGTCTGGGAAGGAGTAGTGATCTGGGGCAAGGGAGGGCAGAGGGTTTGGATGGTGCCCTGTGGAAGAGAGTTGGAATGCAGGAGAGGCAGGGGTGCCAGAGGCAGGCTTTGACTGGGAGGCACTTACCTAAGCGTCTCTCAGCCAGCAGCCCTGCAGCACCCTAAGGCAGGCTGGGCTGGCTCCCTGGCCAATCTCTCAGTTCCTATTGGCTGGACTGTTTCTGGACAATAGGAGCTGAGAGATTGGGCTGGGCGGGGGAGATCACACAAAGCCTCTCCCTCCCTCCAGAGCACAGAATGGCAGCCCTACACTTAAAACAGCGACTGCTGTGTGCCTGAGGGTCCCAGGAGGGTGGTCTGTGGGCAGGCTTGGCTTGGCAGGCCGATTCTGGCCCACAAGAGGTATCTTGCCTCCCCGGTTGTAACTATACACTCTCATATGAAAGTCATGAAAATAACTACCTTCCTCATTAACCCTAAAATCTGAAAATCAGGTTGCAGCTTTTCCCCCTTCTGTCATGTCACAAATTTGATAAATCATTCAAAACATTTTCAAAGAGATCCTAAATCTGCATATAGCCATGTACAAGAGTAGTCCCATGATGTCGATAAGACTACTCACAACAAGTAATATTGTTTCACATCCTTTTGCACATAAAGCTAATGGTGCACTGATTACCTGGTGCTGTTCTCAGAATGACAGAAAAATGAGAAATTTTAAACCTCCAAAATTAATCTCTGATAGCTTTTCTTTATGGAAGGCGTTTGCAATTTCAAGAGAAATCACAAGGCCTGAAAGGGGAAAATGGCAAA